GCCATCACGTCGAGCCGTGTGGTCATCCACGCGGTAGAGGGGGTGGAAGAAGAGGGTGGAGAGAGGAGCAGGTGGTCGACGTTGTCGACCCAAAACAAGACGCAAAGAGCGATCGAACCTAGTGCAGCCACCACGTCGATCCGGGTGGTCATCGACGCGGTAGAGAGGGTGGAAGCTGAGGGTGGAGAGAGGAGCAGGGGGTCGACGTTTTGAGTCGGCCCAAAACAAGACGCAGAGAGCGACCGAATCTAGTGCAGCCACCACGACGAGCCGTGTGGTCATCAACGCAGTAGAGGGGGTGGAAGCAGAGGGTGGAGAGAGGAGCAGGGGGTCAACGTTTTGAGTCGGCCCTAAACAAGATGCAGAGAGCGACCGAACCTAGAGGAGCCACCACGTCGAGCCGTGTGGTCGTCGACGCGGAAGAGGGGCTGGAAGCAAAGGGTGGAGAGAGGAGCAGGGGGTCGACGTCTTGATTCTGTCCAAAACAAGACGCAGAGAGCGACCGAAACTAGAGGAGCCACCACGTCGAGTCGTCTGGTCGTCGACGCGGAAGAGGTGGTGGAAGCAGATGGTGGAGAGAGGAACAGGGGGTCGACATCTTGAGTCGGCCCAAAACAAGACGCATAGAGCGACCGAACCTAGTGAGCCACCACGTCGAGCCGTGTGGTCGTGGACGCGGTAGAGGGGGTGAAAGCAGAGGGTGGAGCGGAGCAGGGGGTCGACGTTTTGAGTCGGCCCAAAACAAGACGCAGAGAGCGACCGGACCTAGTGCAGCCAGCCACCACGTCGATACGTGTGGTCGTCGACGCGGTAGAGAGGGTGGAAGGAGAGGTTGGAGAGAGGAGCAGAGGGTCGACGTGTTGAGTCGACCCAAAACAAGACGTAGAGAGCGACCGAACCTAGTGCAGCCACCACGTCGAGCCGAATGGTCGTCGACGCGGAAGAGGGGGTGGAAGCAGAGGGTGGAGAGAGGAGCAAGGGGTCCACGTCTTGAGTCGGCCCAAAAACAAGACGCAGAGAGCGACCGAACCTAGTGTAGCCACCACGTCGAGCCGTGTGGTCGTCGACGCGGTAGAGGGGGTGGCAGCAGAGGGTGGAGAGAGGAGCAGGGGGTCGACGTATTGAGTTGGCCCAAAACAAGACGCACAGAGGGACCGAACCTAGTGTAGCCACCACGTCGAGCCGTGTGGTTGTCGACGCCGTAGAGGGGGTGGAAGCAGAGGGTGGAGAGGGGAGCAGGTGGTCGACGTCTTGAGCCGGCCCAAAACAAGACGTAGAGAGCGACCGGACCTAGTGCAGCCACCTCGTCGAGCCGTGTGGTCGTCGACGCGGAAGAGGGGGTGGAAGCAGAGGGTGGAGAGAGGAGGAGGGGGTCTATGTCTTGAGTCGGCCCAAAACAAGACGCAGAGAGCGACCGTACCTAGTGCAGTCACCACGTCGAGCCGTGTGGTCGTCGACGCGGAAGAGGGGGTTGAAGCAGAGGGTGGAGAGAGGAGCAGGGCGTCGACGTCTTAAGTCGGCCCAAAACAAGTCACAGAGAGCGACCGAAACTAGTGGAGCCACCACGTCGAGCCGTGTGGTCGTCGACGCGGTACAGGGGGTGGAAGCAGAGGGTGGAGAGAGGAGCAAGGGGTCGACGTCTTGAGTCGGCCCAAAACAAGGCGCAGAGAGCGACCGTACCTAGTGCAGCCACCACGTCGAGCCTTGTGGTCGTCGACGCGGAAGAGGGGGTGGAAGCAGAGGGTGGAGTGAGGAGCAGGGCGTCGACGTCTTGAGTCGTCCCAAAACAAGACGCAGAGAGCGACCGAACCTACTGGAGCCACCACGTCGAGCCGTGTGGTCGTCGACGCGGAAGAGGGGTTGGAAGCAGAGGGTGGAGAGAGGAGCAGGGCGTCGACGTCTTGAGTCGTCCCAAAACAAGACGCAGAGAGCGACCGAACCTAGTGGAGCCACCACATCGAGCCGTGTGGTCGTCGACGCGGAAGAGGGGGTGGAAGCAGAGGGTGGAGAGAGGAGCAGGGGGTCGACGTCTTGAGTCGGCCCAAAACAAGACGCAGAGAGCGACCGAACCTAGTGTAGCCACCACGTCGAGCCGTGTGGTCGTCGACGCGGAAGAGGGGGTGGAAGCAGAGGGTGGAGAGAGGAGCAGGGGGTCGACGTCTTGAGTCGGCCCAAAACAAGACGCAGAGAGCGACCGAACCTAGTGGAGCCACCACATCGAGCCGTGTGGTCGTCGACGCGGTAGAGGGGGTGGAAGCAGAGGGTGGATTGAGGAGCAGGGGGTCGACGTCTTGAGTCGGCCCAAAACAAGACGCAGAGAGCGACCGAACCTAGTGTAGCCACCACGTCGAGCCGTGTGGTCGTCGACGCGGAAGAGGGGGTGGAAGCAGAGGGTGGAGAGAGGAGCAGGGGGTCGACGTCTTGAGTCGGCCCAAAACAAGACGCAGAGAGCGACCGAAACTAGAGGAGCCACCACGTCGAGTCGTGTGGTCCTCGACGTGGAAGAGGTGGTGGAAGCAGATGGTGGAGAGAGGAACAGGGGGTCGACATCTTGAGTCGGCCCAAAACAAGACGCATAGAGCGACCGAACCTAGTGAGCCACCACGTCGAGCCGTGTGGTCGTGGACGCGGTAGAGGGGGTGAAAGCAGAGGGTGGAGCGGAGCAAGGGGTCGACGTTTTGAGTCGGCCCAAAACAAGACGCAGAGAGCGACCGGACCTAGTGCAGCCACCACGTCGAGCCGTGTGGTCATCGACGCGGTAGTGGGGGTGGAAGCTAAGGGTAGAGACAGGAGCAGGGGGTCGTCGTCTTGAGTCGGTCCAAAACAAGACGCAGAGAGCGACCGAACCTAGTGGAGCCACCACTTCGACGAGGAAGAGGGGGTGGAAGCAGAGGGTGGAGAGAGGAGTAGGGGGTCGACGTTTTGAGACGGCCCAAAACAAGACGCAGAGAGCGACAGAACCTAGTGCAGCCACCACATCGAGCAGTGTATTCGTCGACGGGGAAGAGAGGGTGGAAGCAGAGGGTAGAGAGAGGAGCAGGGGTCGACGTTTTGAGTCGGCCAAAAAGAAAACGCAGAGGGCGACCGAAACTAATGCAGCCACCACGTCGAGCCGTGTGGTCATCGACGGGGAAGAGGGGGTGGAAGCTGATGGTGGAGAGAGGAGCAGGGGGTCGACGTCTTAAGTCGGCCCAAAACAAGACACGGAGAGCGACCGAAACGAGTGGAGCCACCACATCGAGCCGTGTGGTCATCGACGCGGAGGAGGGGGTGGAAGCAGAGGGTGGAGAGAGGAGGAGAAAGTCGACGTCTTGAGTCGGCCCAAAACAAGACACAGAGTGCAACCGGACCTAGTATAGCCACCACGTCGATACGTGTGGTCGTCGACGCGGTAGAGAGGGTGGAAGTAGAGGTTGGAGAGAGGAGCAGGGGGTCGACGAGTTGAGTCGGCCCAAAACAAGACGTAGAGAGCGACCGAACCTAGTGCAGCCACAACGTCGAGCCGTGTGGTTTCCACGCGGTAGAGGGGGTGGAAGCAGAGGGGGGAGAGAGGAGCACGTGGTCGACGTTTTGAGTCGACCCAAAACAAGACGCAGAGAGCGACCGAACCTAGTGCAGCCACCACGTCGATCTGGGTGGTCGTCGACGCGGTAGAGAGGGTAGAAGCAGAGGGTGGAGAGAGGAGCAGGGGGTCGACGATTTGAGTCGGCCCAAAACAAGATGCAAAGAGCGACCGAACCTAGTGTAGCCACCACGTCAAGCCGTGTGGTCATCGACGCGGTAGAGGGGGTGGAAGCAGAGGGTGGAGAGAGGAGCAGGGGGTCGACGTCTTGAGTTGGCCCAAAACAAGACGCACAGAGGGACCGAACCTAGTGTAGCCACCACGTCGAGCCGTGTGGTTGTCGACGTGGTAGAAGGGGTGGAAGCAGAGGGTAGAGAGAGGAGCAGGTGGTCGACGTTTTGAGCCGGCCCAAAATAAGACGTAAGAGCGACCGGACCTAGTGCAGCCACCTTGTCGAGCCGAGTGGTCGTCGACTCGGAAGAAGGGGTGGAAGCAGAGGGTGGAGAGAGGAGGAGGGGGTCGATGTCTTGAGTCGGCCCAAAACAAGACGCAGAGAGCGACCGGACCTAGTGCAGCCACCACGTCGAGACGTGTGGTCATCGACGCGGAAGAGGGGGTGGAAGCTAAGGGTGGAGAGAGGAGCACGGGGTCGACGTCTTGAGTCGGTCCAAAACAAGACGCAAAGAGCGACCGATCCTAGTGGAGCCACCACGTCGACGGGGAAGAGGGGGTGGAAGCAGAGGGTGGAGAGAGGAGCAGGGGGTCGACGTTTTGAGTCGGCCCAAAACAAGACGCAAAGAGCAACAGAACCTAGTGCAGCCACCACGTCGAGCAGTGTATTCGTTGACGGGGAAGAGAGGGTGGAAGCAGAGGGTGGAGAGAGGAGCAGGGGTCGACGTTTTGAGTCGGCAAAAAAAAAGCGCAGAGGGCGACCGAAACTAATGCAGCCACCACGTCGAGCCGTGTGGTCGTCGACGGGGAAGAGGGGGTGGAACCTGATGGTGGAGAGAGGAGCAGGGGGTCGACGTCTTAAGTCGGCCCAAAACAAGACACAGAGAGCGACCGAAACTAGTGGAGCCACCACATCGAGCCGTGTGGTCATCGACGCGGAAGAGGGGGTGGAAGCAGAGGGTGGAGAGAGGAGCAGGGGGTCGACGTTTTGAGTCGGCCCAAAACAAGACGCAAAGAGTGACCGAACCTAGTGTAGCCACCACGTCGAGCCGACGCCGTAGAGAGGGTGGAAGCAGAGGATGGAGAGAAGAGCAGGGGGTCAACGTTTTAAGTCGGCCCAAAACAAGACGCAGAAAGTGACCGAACCCACGTCGAGCCATGTGGTCGTCGACGCGGAAGAGAGGGTGGAAGGGGAGGGTGGAGAGAGGAGCAGGTGGTCGACGTTTTGAGTCGGCTCAAAAGAAGACGCAGAGAGTGACCGAACCTAATGCAGCCACCACGTCGAGCCGTGTGGTCGTCGACGCGAAAGAGGGGGTGGAAGCAGAGGGTGGAGAGAGGAGCAGGTGGTCGACGTTTTGAGCCGGCTCAAAACAAGAAACAGAGAGCGACCGGACCTAGTGCAGCCTCCACGTCGAGCCGTGTGGTCGTCGACGCGGTAGAGAGGGTGGAAGCAGAGAGTAAAGTGAGGAGCAGGGGGTCGACGTCTTGAGTCGGCCCAAAACAAGACGCAGAGAGCGACCGGACCTAGTGCAGCCACCACGCCGAGCCGTGTGGTCGTCGACGCGGTAGAGGGTGTGGAATCAGAGGGTGGAGAGAGGAGCAGGGGGTCGACGTGTTGAGTCGGCCCAAAACAAGACGGAGAGTGCGACCGAACCTAGTGCAGCCATCACGTCGAGCCGTGTGGTCGTGGACGTGGTCGTGGACGTGGTCGTGGACGTGGTCGTGAACGTGGACGTGGTCGTGGACGTGGACGCGGACGTGGACGCGGACGTGGACGTGGTCGCCGACGTGGTCGTGGACGTGGTCGTGGACGCGGACGTGGACGCGGACGCGGTCGTGGTCGTGGACGCGGTCGTGGTCGTGGACGCGGTCGTGGTCGTGGACGCGGTCGTGGTCGTGGACGTGGACGAGGTCGTGGACGTGGTCGTGGACGGGGACGTGGTCGTGGTCGTGGACGTGGACGTGGACGTGGACGTGGACGTCGACGCGGACGTCGACGTGGACGTGGACGTGGACGTGGACGTCGACGCGGACGTGGTCATGGTCGTGGACGTGGTCGTGGACGCGGACGTGGACGTGGACGCGGACGTGGACGTCGACGTGGACGTGGTCGTGGACGTGGTCTTGGAGGTGGACGTGGACGTGGACGTGGTCGTGGTCGTGGTCGTGGTCGTGGTCGTGGACGTGGACGTGGACGTGGTCTTGGAGGTGGACGTGGTCGTGGTCGTGGACGTGGACGTGGAGGTGGTCGTGGTCGTGGAGGTGGACGTGGACGTGGACGTGGACGTGGACGTGGTCGTGGACGTGGTGGTGGACGTGGACGTGGACGTGGTCGTGGACGTGGTCGTGGTCGTGGACGTGGACGTGGACGTGGTCGTGGACGTGGTCGTGGACGTGGACGTTGACGTGGACGTGGTCGTGGACGTGGTCGTGGACGCGGTCGTGGTCGTGGACGTGGACGAGGTCGTGGACGTGGTCGTGGACGTGGACGTGGTCGTGGTCGTGGACGTGGACGCGGACGTGGTCGTGGTCGTGGACGTGGACGCGGACGTCGACGTCGACGTGGACGTGGACGTGGACGTCGACGTGGACGTGGTCGTGGTCGTGGACGTGGTCGTGGACGCGGACGTGGACGTGGACGCGGACGTGGACGTCGACGTGGACGTGGTCGTGGACGTGGTCTTGGAGGTGGACGTGGACGTGGACGTGGTCGTGGTCGTGGTCGTGGTCGTGGACGTGGACGTGGACGTGGTCTTGGAGGTGGACGTGGTCGTGGTCGTGGACGTGGACGTGGAGGTGGTCGTGGTCGTGGAGGTGGACGTGGACGTGGACGTGGACGTGGACGTGGTCGTGGACGTGGTGGTGGACGTGGACGTGGACGTGGTCGTGGACGTGGTCGTGGTCGTGGACGTGGACGTGGACGTGGTCGTGGACGTGGTCGTGGACGTGGACGTTGACGTGGACGTGGTCGTGGACGTGGTCGTGGACGTGGTCGTGGTCGTGGACGTGGTCGTGGTCGTGGACGTGGTCGTGGTCGTGGACGTGGTCGTGGACGTGGTCGTGGACGTGGACCTGGTTGTGGTCGTGGACGTGGTCGTGGTCGTGGACGTGGACGTGGACGTGGTCGTGGTCGTGGACGTGGTCGTGGTCGTGGTCGTGGACGTGGTCGTGGACGTGGACGTGGTCGTGGACGTGGACGTGGACGTGGACGTGGACTTGGTCGTGGACGTGGTCGTGGTCGTGGACGTGGTCGTGGTCGTGGACGTGGACGTGGACGTGGACGTGGTCGTGGACGTGGTCGTGGTCGTGGACGTGGACGTGGTCGTGGACGTGGACGTGGTCGTGGACGTGGACGTGGACGTGGACGTGGACGTCGACGTGGACGTGGACGTCGACGTGGTCGTGGTCGTGGACGCGGACGTGGACGTGGTCGTGGACGTGGTCGTGGACGTGGACGTGGTCGTGGACGTGGACGTGGTCGTGGACGTGGACGTGGGCGTGGACGTGGACGTGGACGTCGTCGTGGTCGTGGACGTGGACGTGGGCGTGGACGTGGACGCGGACGTGGCCGTGGACGTGGTCGTGGACGTGGACGTGGACGTGGACGTGGACGTCGACATGGACCTGGACGTGGTCGTGGTCGTGGTCGTGGACGTGGTCGTGGTCGTGGTCGTGGACGTGGACGTGGACGTGGACGTGGTCGTGGACGTCGACGTGGTCGTGGTCGTGGACGTGGACGTGGTCGTGGAGGTGGACGTGGACGTGGTCGTGGAGGTGGACGTGGTCGCGGACGTGGACGTGGTCTTGGTCGTGGACGTGGACGTGGACGTGGTCGTGGTCGTGGACGTGGACGTGGACGTGGTCGTGGACGTCGACGTGGTCGTGTTCGTGGACGTGGACGTGGTCATGGAGGTGGACGTGGACGTGGTCGTGGAGGTGGACGTGGTCGTGGACGTGGACGTGGACGTGGACGTTGACGTGGTCGTGGACGTGGACGTGGTCGTGGACGTCGACGTGGTCGTGTTCGTGGACGTGGACGTGGTCGTGGAGGTGGACGTGGACGTGGTCGTGGAGGTGGACGTGGTCGTGGACGTGGACGTGGTCTTGGTCGTGGACGTGGACGTGGACGTGGACGTGGTCGTGGACGTGGACGTGGTCGTGGTCGTGGACGTGGACGTGGACGTGGACGTGGACATCGACGTGGACGTGGACGTCGACGTCGACGTGGACGTGGTCGTGGACGTGGTCGTGGACGTGGACGTGGTCGTGGACGTGGACCTGGACGTGGTCGTGGACGTGGACGTGGACGTGGTCGTGGACGTGGACGTGGACGTGGACGTGGAAGTGGTCGTGGACGTGGACGTGGACGTGGACGTGGTCGTGGACGTGGTCGTGGTCGTGGACGTGGACGTGGTCGTGGTCGTGGACGTGGACGTGGACGTGGTCGTGGACGTGGACGTGGACGTGGAGGTGGACGTGGTCGTGGACGTGGACGTGGACGTCGACGTGGACGTGGACGTGGACGTGGACGTGGACGTCGACGTGGACGTGGACGTGGTCGTGGTCGTGGTCGTGGACGTGGACGTGGTCGTGGTCGTGGACGTCGACGTCGACGTGGACGTGGGCGTGGTCGTGGTCGTGGTCGTGGACGTGGACGTGGACGTGGTCGTGGACGTGGTCGTCGACGTGGACGTGGTCGTGGACGTCGACGTGGTCGTGGACGTGGACGTGGGCGTGGACGTGGACGTGGACGTGGGCGTGGACGTGGACGTGGACGTGGGCGTGGACGTGGTCGTGGACGTGGTCGTGGACGTGGACGTGGACGTGGACGTGGTCGTGGACGAGGACGTGGACGTCGACGTGGACGTGGACGTGGTCGTGGTCGTGGACGTGGACGTGGTCGTGGACGTGGACGTCGACGTGGACGTGGACGTGGACGTCGTCGTGGACGTGGACGTCGACGTGGACGTGGTCATGGACGTGGACGTCGACGTGGACGTGGACGTGGACGTGGACGTGGACGTGGTCGTGGTCGCGGTCGTGGACGTGGACGCGGTCGTGGACGTACGTGGACGTGGTCGTGGACGTGGACGTGGACGTGGACGTGGTCGTGGTCGTGGACGTGGACGTCGACGTGGACGTGGACGTGGTCGTGGACGTGGACGTGGACGTGGACGTGGTCATGGACGTGGACGTCGACGTGGACGTGGACGTGGACGTGGACGTGGACGTGGTCGTGGTCGCGGTCGTGGACGTGGACGCGGTCGTGGACGTACGTGGACGTGGTCGTGGACGTGGACGTGGACGAGGTCGTGGACGTGGACGTGGTCGTGGTCGTGGACGTGGTCGTGGACGTGGACGTGGTGGTGGACGTGGACGTGGGCGTGGACGTGGACGTGGACGTGGTCGTGGACGTGGACGTGGACGTGGACGTGGTCGTGGGCGTGGACGTGGACGTGGACGTGGACGTGGACGTGGACGTGGGCGTGGACGTGGACGTGGACGTGGACGTGGTCGTGGACGTGGACGTGGACGTGGACGTGGTCGTGGGCGTGGACGTGGACGTGGACGTGGACGTGGACGTGGACGTGGACGTGGAAGTGGTCGTGGACGTGGACGTGGTCGTGGACGTGGTCGTGGTCGTGGACGTGGACGTGGTCGTGGACGTGGACGTGGACGTGGACGTGGTCGTGGACGTGGTCGTCGACGTCGACGTGGACGTGGACGTGGTCGTGGTCGTGGTCGTGGACGTGGACGTGGTCGTGGACGTCGACGTGGACGTGGACGTGGACGTGGACGTGGTCGTGGACGTGGACGTCGACGTGGACGTGGACGTGGTCGTGGACGTGGACGTGGACGTCGACGTGGACGTGGACTTGGTCGTGGTCGTGGACGTGGACGTGGACGTGGTCGTGGTCGTGGAGGTGGAGGTGGACGTGGACGTGGACGTGGACGTGGACGTGGTCGTGGACGTGCTCGTGGACGTGGTCGTGGACGTGGTCGTGGACGTGGTTGTGGACGTGGACTTGGACGTGGTCGTGGACGTGGACGTGGACGTGGTCGTGGACGTGGACGTGGTCGTGGTTGTGGTCGTGGACGTGGTCGTGGACGTGGTCGTGGACGTGGTCGTGGACGTGGTCGTGGACGTGGTCGTGGTCGTGGACGTGGTCGTGGTCGTGGACGTGGACGTGGTCGTGGACGTGGTCGTGGTCGTGGACGTGGTCGTGGACGTCGTCGTGGACGTGGTCGTGGACGTGGACGTGGTCGTGATCGTGGACGTGGACGTGGACGTGGTCGTGGACGTGGACCTGGTCGTGGTCGTGGACATGGTCGTGGTCGTGGACGTGGACGTGGACGTGGTCGTGGTCGTCGACGTGGACGTGGTCGTGGACGTGGACGTGGTCGTGGTCGTGGACCTGGTCGTGGTCGTGGACGTGGTCGTGGTCGTGGACGTGGACGTGGTCGTGGTCGTCGACGTGTACGTGGTAGTGGACGTGGACGTGGTCGTGGACGTGGTCGTGGACGTCGTCGTGGACGTGGTCGTGGACGTGGACGTGGTCGTGATCGTGGACGTGGACGTGGACGTCGACGTGGACGTGGACGTGGACGTGGTCGTGGACGTGGACCTGGTCGTGGTCGTGGACGTGGTCGTGGTCGTGGACGTGGACGTGGACGTGGTCGTGGTCGTCGACGTGGACGTGGTCGTGGTCGTGGACCTGGTCGTGGTCGTGGACGTGGTCGTGGTCGTGGACGTGGACGTGGTCGTGGTCGTCGACGTGTACGTGGTCGTGGACGTGGACGTGGTCGTGGACGTCGTCGTGGACGTGGTCGTGGACGTGGACGTGGTCGTGATCGTGGACGTGGACGTGGACGTCGACGTGGACGTGGACGTGGTCGTGGACGTGGACGTGGACGTGGACGTGGACGTGGAGGTGGTCGTGGACGTGGACGTGGTCGTGGTCGTGGAGGTGGACGTGGACGTGGACGTGGTCGTGGTCGTGGACGTGGTCGTGGTCGTGGACGTGGACGTGGACGTGGACGTGGTCGTGGACGTGGACGTGGACGTGGTCGTGGACGTGGTCGTGGACGTGGACGTGGTCGTGGACGTGGTCGTGGTCGTGGACGTGGTCGTGGACGTCGTCGTGGACGTGGTCGTGGACGTGGACGTGGACGTGGTCGTGATCGTGGACGTGGTCGTGATCGTGGACGTGGTCGTGGTCGTGATCGTGGACGTGGACGTGGTCGTGATCGTGGACGTGGACGTGGACGACGTGGACGTGGTCGTGGACGCGGACATGGTCGTGGTCGTGGACGCGGACGTGGACGTGGTCGTGGACGTGGACGTCGACGTGGACGTGGTCGTGGTCGTGGACGTGGTCGTGGACGCGGACGTGGACGTGGACGCGGACGTGGACGTCGACGTGGACGTGGTCGTGGACGTGGTCGTGGACGTGGACGTGGACGTGGACGTGGACGTGGTCGTGGTCGTGGTCGTGGTCGTGGTCGTGGACGTGGACGTGGACGTGGTCTTGGAGGTGGACGTGGTCGTGGTCGTGGACGTGGACGTGGACGTGGTCGTGGTCGTGGAGGTGGACGTGGACGTGGACGTGGACGTGGTCGTGGACGTGGTGGTGGACGTGGACGTGGACGTGGACGTGGACGTGGTCGTGGACGTGGTCGTGGTCGTGGACGTGGACGTGGACGTGGTCGTGGACGTGGTCGTGGACGTGGACGTTGACGTGGACGTGGTCGTGGACGTGGTCGTGGACGTGGTCGTGGACGTGGACGTGGTCGTGGTCGTGGTCGTGGTCGTGGACGTGGTCGTGGACGTGGTCGTGGACGTGGACCTGGTTGTGGTCGTGGACGTGGTCGTGGTCGTGGACGTGGACGTGGTCGTGGTCGTGGACGTGGTCGTGGTCGTGGTCGTGGACGTGGTCGTGGACGTGGACGTGGTCGTGGTCGTGGACGTGGACGTGGACGTGGACGTGGACTTGGTCGTGGACGTGGTCGTGGTCGTGGACGTGGTCGTGGTCGTGGACGTGGACGTGGACGTGGTCGTGGACGTGGTCGTGGTCGTGGACGTGGACGTGGACGTGGTCGTGGACGTGGACGTGGTCGTGGACGTGGACGTCGACGTGGACGTGGACGTCGATGTGGACGTGGACGTCGACGTGGACGTGGACGTGGACGTGGACGTGGTCGTGGACGTGGACGTGGTCCTGGTCGTGGACGTCGACGTCGACGTGGACGTGGTCGTGGTCGTGGTCGTGGACGCGGACGTGGACGTGGTCGTGGACGTGGTCGTGGACGTGGACGTGGTCGTGGACGTGGACGTGGTCGTGGACGTGGACGTGGGCGTGGACGTGGACGTGGACGTCGTCGTGGTCGTGGACGTGGACGTGGGCGTGGACGTGGACGTGGACGTGGCCGTGGACGTGGTCGTGGACGTGGACGTGGACGTGGACGTGGACGTCGACATGGACCTGGACGTGGTCGTGGTCGTGGTCGTGGACGTGGACGTGGTCGTGGTCGTGGTCATGGACGAGGACGTGGACGTGGACGTGGTCGTGGACGTCGACGTGGTCGTGGTCGTGGACGTGGACGTGGTCGTGGAGGTGGACGTGGACGTGGTCGTGGAGGTGGACGTGGTCGCGGACGTGGACGTGGTCTTGGTCGTGGACGTGGACGTGGACGTGGTCGTGGTCGTGGACGTGGACGTGGTCGTGGTCGTGGACGTGGACGTGGACGTGGTCGTGGACGTGGACGTGGTCGTGTTCGTGGACGTGGACGTGGTCATGGAGGTGGACGTGGACGTGGTCGTGGAGGTGGACGTGGTCGTGGACGTGGACGTGGACGTGGACGTTGACGTGGTCGTGGACGTGGACGTGGTCGTGGACGTCGACGTGGTCGTGTTCGTGGACGTGGACGTGGTCGTGGAGGTGGACGTGGACGTGGTCGTGGAGGTGGACGTGGTCGTGGACGTGGACGTGGTCTTGGTCGTGGACGTGGACGTGGACGTGGACGTGGTCGTGGACGTGGACGTGGTCGTGGTCGTGGTCGTGGACGTGGACGTGGACGTGGACGTGGACATCGACGTGGACGTGGACGTGGACGTCGACGTCGACGTGGACGTGGTCGTGGACGTGGTCGTGGACGTGGACGTGGTCGTGGACGTGGACCTGGACGTGGTCGTGGACGTGGACGTGGACGTGGTCGTGGACGTGGACGTGGACGTGGACGTGGACGTGGAAGTGGTCGTGGACGTGGACGTGGACGTGGACGTGGTCGTGGACGTGGTCGTGGTCGTGGACGTGGACGTGGTCGTGGTCGTGGACGTGGACGTGGACGTGGTCGTGGACGTGGACGTGGACGTGGACGTGGTCGTGGACGTGGACGTGGACGTCGACGTGGACGTGGACGTGGACGTGGACGTCGACGTCGACGTGGACGTGGACGTGGTCGTGGTCGTGGACGTGGACGTGGTCGTGGTCGTGGACGTCGACGTCGACGTGGACGTGGGCGTGGTCGTGGTCGTGGTCGTGGACGTGGACGTGGACGTGGTCGTGGACGTGGTCGTCGACGTGGACGTGGTCGTGGACGTGGACGTGGGCGTGGTCGTGGACGTGGACGTGGGCGTGGACGTGGACGTGGACGTGGGCGTGGACGTGGACGTGGACGTGGGCGTGGACGTGGACGTGGACGTGGGCGTGGACGTGGTCGTGGACGTGGTCGTGGACGTGGACGTGGACGTGGTCGTGGACGTGGACGTGGACGTGGACGTCGACGTGGACGTGGACGTGGTCGTGGTCGTGGTCGTGGACGTGGACGTGGTCGTGGACGTGGACGTCGACGTGGACGTGGACGTGGACGTGGTCGTGGACGTGGACGTGGACGTGGACGTGGTCGTGGACGTGGACGTCGACGTGGACGTGGACGTGGACGTGGACGTGGACGTGGTCGTGGTCGTGGTCGTGGACGTGGACGTGGTCGTGGTCGTGGTCGTGGACGTCGACGTCGACGTGGACGTGGACGTGGTCGTGGATGTGGACGTGGACGTGGTCGTGGACGTGGACGTGGACGTGGACGAGGTCGTGGACGTGGACGTGGTCGTGGACGTGGACGTGGTCGTGGTCGTGGACCTGGTCGTGGTCGTGGACGTGGTCGTGGTCGTGGACGTGGACGTGGTCGTGGTCGTCGACGTGTACGTGGTCGTGGACGTGGACGTGGTCGTGGACGTCGTCGTGGACGTGGTCGTGGACGTGGACGTGGTCGTGATCGTGGACGTGGACGTGGACGTCGACGTGGACGTGGACGTGGTCGTGGACGTGGACGTGGACGTGGACGTGGAGGTGGTCGTGGACGTGGACGTGGTCGTGGTCGTGGAGGTGGACGTGGACGTGGACGTGGTCGTGGTCGTGGACGTGGTCGTGGTCGTGGACGTGGACGTGGACGTGGACGTGGTCGTGGACGTGGACGTGGACGTGGTCGTGGACGTGGTCGTGGACGTGGACGTGGTCGTGGACGTGGTCGTGGTCGTGGACGTGGTCGTGGACGTCGTCGTGGACGTGGTCGTGGACGTGGACGTGGACGTGGTCGTGATCGTGGACGTGGACGTGGTCGTGATCGTGGACGTGGACGTGGACGACGTGGACGTGGTCGTGGACGCGGACCTGGTCGTGGTCGTGGACGCGGACGTGGACGTGGTCGTGGACGTGGACGTGGACGTCGACGTGGACGTGGTCGTGGTCGTGGACGTGGTCGTGGACGCGGACGTGGACGTGGACGCGGACGTGGACGTCGACGTGGACGTGGTCGTGGACGTGGTCGTGGACGTGGACGTGGACGTGGACGTGGACGTGGTCGTGGTCGTGGTCGTGGTCGTGGTCGTGGACGTGGACGTGGACGTGGTCTTGGAGGTGGACGTGGTCGTGGTCGTGGACGTGGACGTGGACGTGGTCGTGGTCGTGGAGGTGGACTTGGACGTGGACGTGGACGTGGACGTGGTCGTGGACGTGTTGGTGGACGTGGACGTGGACGTGGACGTGGACGTGGACGTGGTCGTGGACGTGGTCGTGGTCGTGGACGTGGACGTGGACGTGGTCGTGGACGTGGTCGTGGACGTGGACGTTGACGTGGACGTGGTCGTGGACGTGGTCGTGGTCGTGGACGTGGTCGTGGTCGTGGACGTGGTCGTGGTCGTGGACGTGGTCGTGGACGTGGTCGTGGACGTGGACCTGGTTGTGGTCGTGGACGTGGTCGTGGTCGTGGACGTGGACGTGGACGTGGTCGTGGTCGTGGTCGTGGACGTCGACGTGGTCGTGGGCGTGGACGTGGACGTGGACGTCGACGTGGTCGTGGACGTGGACGTGGGCGTGGACGTGGACGTGGACGTGGGCGTGGACGTGGTCGTGGACGTGGTCGTGGACGTGGACGTGGACGTGGACGTGGTCGTGGACGTGGACGTGGACGTCGACGTCGACGTGGACGTGGACGTGGACGTGGACGTGGACGTGGACGTGGACGTGGTCGTGGACGTGGACGTGGACGTGGTCGTGGACGTGGACGTGGACGTGGACATGGACGTGGACGTGGACGTGGACGTGGACGTCGACGTGGACGTCGACGTCGACGTCGACGTGGACGTCGACGTGGTCGTGGACGTCGACGTGGTTGTGGACGTGGACGTCGACGTGGTTGTGGACGTGGACGTGGGCGTCGACGTGGACGTGGACGTGGGCGTCGACGTGGACGTGGACGTGGACGTGGACGTGGTCGTGGACGTGGACGTGGACGTGGACGTGGACGTGGACGTGGGCGTGGACGTGGACGTGGGCGTGGACGTGGACGTGGACGTGGACGTGGGCGTGGACGTGGACGTGGACGTGGGCGTGGACGTGGACGTGGACGTGGGCGTGGACGTGGACGTGGGCGTGGACGTGGACGTGGACGTGGACGTGGACGTGGTCGTGGACGTGGACGTGGACGTGGACGTGGTCGTGGGCGTGGACGTGGACGTGGACGTGGACGTGGACGTGGACGTGGACGTGGACGTGGAAGTGGTCGTGGACGTGGACGTGGACGTGGACGTGGACGTGGTCGTGGACGTGGTCGTGGTCGTGGACGTGGACGTGGTCGTGGACGTGGACGTGGACGTGGACGTGGTCGTGGACGTGGTCGTCGACGTCGACGTGGACGTGGACGTGGTCGTGGTCGTGGTCGTGGACGTGGTCGTGGACGTGGACGTCGACGTGGACGTGGACGTGGACGTGGACGTGGACGTGGTCGTGGACGTGGACGTCGATGTGGACGTGGACGTGGTCGTGGACGTGGTCGTGGACGTGGACGTGGTCGTGGTCGTGGACGTGGACGTGGACGTGGACGTCGACGTCGACGTCGACGTGGACCTGGACGTGGACGTGGTCGTGGACGTGGTCGTGGACGTGGACGTGGACGTGGTTGTGGTCGTGGACGTGGTCGTGGACGTGGTCGTGGACGTGGACGTGGTCGTGGACGTGGACGTGGTCGTGGACGTGGACGTGGACGTGGACTTGGACGTGGACCTGGTCGTGGTCGTGGACGTGGTCGTGGACGTGGACGTGGACGTGGTCGTGGTCGTGGACGTGGTCGTGGTCGTGGTCGTGGACGTGGACGTGGACGTGGACTTGGTCGTGGTCGTGGACGTGGTCGTGGTCGTGGTCGTGGACGTGGACGTGGACGTGGTCGTGGACGTGGACGTGGACGTGGTCGTGGACGTGGACGTGGACGTGGACGTTGTCGTGGACGTGGTCGTGGACGTGGACGTGGTCGTGGACGTGGTCGTGGACGTGGACGTGGACGTGGACGTGGACGTGGACGTGGTCGTGGACGTGGACGTGGACGTGGACGTGGTCGTGGACGTGGACGTGGACGTGGTCGTGGACGTGGACGTGGTCGTGGACGTGGTCGTGGTCGTGGACGTGGACGTGGACGTGGTCGTGGACGTGGTCGTGGTCGTGGTCGTGGTCGTGGACGTGGACGTGGTCGTGGACGTGGACGTGGACGTGGACGTGGACGTGGACGTGGACGTCGACGTCGACGTGGACGTGGACGTCGACGTGGTCGTGGACGTGGTCGTGGACGTGGACGTGGTCGTGGAGGTGGACGTGGACTTGGACGAGGACCTGGTCGTGGTCGTGGTCGTGGACGTGGACGTGGACGTGGTCGTGGACGTGGACGTGGACGTGGACGTGGACGTGGTCGTGGACGTGGACGTGGACGTGGACGTCGACGTGGACGTGGACGTGGTCGTGGTCGTGGACGTCGACGTGGTCGTGGTCGTGGACGTGGACGTGGTCGTGGAGGTGGACGTGGACTTGGTCGTGGAGGTGGACGTGGACGTGGTCGTGGTCGTGGACGTGGTCGTTGACGTGGACGTGGACGTGGTCGTGGACGTGGACGTGGTCGTGGACGTGGACGTCGACGTCGACGTGGACCTGGATGTGGACGTGGACGTGGACGTGGTCGTGGACGTGGACGTGGTCGTGGACGTGGACGTGGTCGTGGACGTGGTCATGGTCGTGGTCGTGGACGTGGACGTGGTCGTGGAGGTGGACGTGGACTTGGTCGTGGACGTGGACGTGGTCGTGGTCGTGGACGTGGACGTGGTCGTGGATGTGGACGTGGACGTGGACGTGGTCGTGGACGTGAACGTGGACGTGGACGTGGACGTGGACGTGGACGTGGTCGTGGACGTGGACGTGGACGTGGACGTGGACGTGGACGTGGACGTGGACGTGGACGTGGACGTGGACGTGGACGTGGACGTGGACGTGGTCGTGGACGTGGACGTCGACGTGGTCGTGGACGTGGACCTGGACGTGGTCGTGGACGTGGACGTGGACATCGACGTGGACCTGGACGTGGACGTGGACGTGGACGTTGACGTGGACGTGGTCGTGGACGTGGTCGTGGACGTGGACGTGGACGTGGTCGTGGTCGTGGACGTGGTCGTGGACGTGGTCATGGACGTGGACGTGGTCGTGGACGTGGACGTGGTCGTGGACGTGGACGTGGACGTGGACTTGGACGTGGACCTGGTCGTGGTCGTGGACGTGGTCGTGGTCGTGGTCGTGGACGTGGTCGTGGACGTGGACGTGGACGTGGTCGTGGACGTGGACGTGGTCGTGGACGTGGACGTGGACGTGGACGTGGTCGTGGACGTGGACGTGGACGTGGACGTGGACGTCGACGTGGTCGTGGACGTGGTCGTGGACGTGGACGTGGACGTGGTCGTGGTCGTGGACGTGGACGTGGACGTGGACGTGGTCGTGGACGTGGTCGTGGACGTGATCGTGGACGTGGACGTGGACGTGGACGTGGACGTGGACGTGGTCGTGGACGTGGACGTGGACGTCGACGTCGTCGTGGACGTGGTCGTGGACGTGGTCGTGGTCGTGGACGTGGACGTGATCGTGGTCGTGGACGTGGACGTAGACGTGGTCGTGGACGTGGTCGTGGACGTGATCGTGGACGTGGACGTGGACGTGGACGTGGTCGTGGACGTGGACGTGGACGTGGACGTGGTCGTGGACGTGGTCGTGGTCGTGGACGTGGACGTGATCGTGGTCGTGGACGTGGACGTGGTCGTGGACGTGGTCGTGGTCGGACGTGGACGTGGACGTGGACGTGGACGTGGACGTGGACGTCGACGTGGACGTGGACGTCGACGTGGACGTGGACGTCGACGTGGTCGTGGACGTGGTCGTGGACGTGGACGTGGTCGTGGAGGTGGACGTGGACTTGGACGAGGACCTGGTCATGGTCGTGGTCGTGGACGTGGACGTGGACGTGGTCGTGGACGTGGACGTGGACGTGGACGTGGACGTGGTCGTGGACGTGGACGTGGTCGTGGACGTGGACGTGGACGTGGACGTGGACGTGGTCGTGGTCGTGGACGTGGTCGTGGTCGTGGACGTGGACGTGGTCGTGGACGTGGACGTGGACTTGGTCGTGGAGGTGGACGTGGACTTGGTCGTGGACGTGGACGTGGACGTGGTCGTGGACGTGGACGTGGACGCGGTCGTGGACGTGGACGTGGAAGCGGACGTGGTCGTGGACGTGGAAGCGGACGTGGTCGTGGCCGTGGACGTGGTCGTGGTTGTGGCCGTGGACGTGGTCGTGGACGTGGTCGTGGACGTGGACGTGGTCCTGGGACGTGGACTTGGACGTGGTCGTGGACGTGGACGTGGTCGTGGACGTGGACTTGGACGTGGTCGTGGACGTGGTCGTGGACGTGGTCGTGGACGTGGTCGTGGATGTGGTCGTGGACGTCGACGTGGACGTCGACGTGGACGTGGTCGTGGACGTGGACGTGGTCGTGGACGTGGACGTGGTCGTGGTTGTGGACGTGGACGTGGTCGTATTCGTGGTCGTGGACGTGGACGTGTTCGTGGACGTGGTCGTGGTCGTGGACGTGGTCTTGGACGTGGTCGTGGACGTGGACGTCGACGTGGTCGTGGACGTGGACGTGGACGTGGTCGTGGACGTGGACGTGGACGTTGACGTGGTCGTGGACGTGGACGTGGACGTGGACGTGGACGTGGACGTCGACGTGGACGTGGACGTGGTCGTGGTCGTGGACGTCGACATGGTCGTGGTCGTGGACGTGGACGTGGTCGTGGAGGTGGACGTGGACTTGGTCGTGGAGGTGGACGTGGACTTGGACGAGGACCTGGTCATGGTCGTGGTCGTGGACGTGGACGTGGACGTGGACGTGGTCGTGGACGTGGACGTGGACGTGGACGTGGACGTGGTCGTGGACGTGGACGTGGACGTGGACGTGGACGTGGACGTCGACGTGGTCGTGGACGTGGACGTGGACGTGGTCGTCGACATGGTCGTGGTCGTGGACGTGGACGTGGTCGTGGAGGTGGACGTGGACTTGGTCGTGGACTTGGACCTAGACCACGTCCACGTCCACGACCACGTCCACGACCACGTCCACGTCCACGACCACGACCACGTCCACGAATACGACCACATCCACGTCCACGTCGACGTCCACGTCGACGTCCACGACCACATCCACGACCACGTCCACGACCACGTCCACGACCACGTCCACGACCACGTCCAAGTCCACGTCCACGACCACGTCCACGTCCACGACCACGTCCACGACCACGTCCTCGACCACGTCCACGTCCACGTCCACGAACACGTCCACATCCACGGCCACGACCACGTCCACGGCCACGTCCACGTCCACGACCGCGTCCACGTCCACGTCCACCACCACGTCCACGTCCACGTCCACGACCACGACCACGTCCACGTCCACGACCACGTCCACGTCCACGTCCACGACCACGTCCACGACCACGTCCACGACCACGTCCACGTCGACGACCACGTCGACGACCACGTCCACGTCCACGTCCACGACCACGTCCACGACCACGTCCACGTCCCCGTCCACGTCGACGACCACGTCCACGACCACGTCCACGTCCACGTTGACGACCACGTCCACGTCCACGACCACGTCCACGTCCACGTCCAATTCCACGTCCACGTCCACGTCCACGTCCACGACCACGTCCACGTCCACGTCCACATCCACGTCCACGTCCACGACCACGTCCACGACCACGACCACGTCCACGTCCACGACCACGTGCACGACCACGACCACGTCCACGTCTACGACCACGTCCATGACCACGTCCACGTCCACGTCCACGTCCACGACCACGTCCACGTCCACGTCCACGTCCACGTCCACGTCCACGACCACGTCCACGACCACGTGCACGTCCACGTCCACGTCCACGTCCACGACCACGTGCACGTCCACGTCCACGTCCACGTCCACGACCACGTGCACGTCCACGTCCACGTCCACGTCCACGACCACGTGCACGTCCACGTCCACGTCCACGTCCACGACCACGTCCACGTCCACGTCCACGTCCACGTCCACGACCACGTCCACGTCCACGTCCACGTCCACGACCACGTCCACGACCAAGTCCAAGTCCACGTCCACGTCCACGACCACGTCCACGTCCACGTCCACGTCCACGACCACGTCCACGACCACGTCCACGTCCAGGTCCACGTCCACGACCACGTCCACGACCACGTCCAGGTCCACGTCCACGACCACGTCCAGGTCCACGTCCACGACCACGTCCACGACCACGTCCTTGTCCACGTCCACGACCAAGTTCACGTCCACGTCCACGACCACGTCCACGATCACGTCCACGTCCACGTTCACGACCACGTCCACGTCCACGTTCACGTCCAAGTCCACGTCCACGTCCACGTCCACGTCCACGACCACGTCCACGTCCACGTTCACGTCCAAGTCCACGTCCACGTCCACGTCCAGGTCCACGTCCACGTCCACGTCCACGTCCACGTCCAGGTCCACGTCCACGTCCACGTCCACGTCCACGTCCAGGTCCACGTCCACGACCACGTCCACGTCCACGTCGACGTCCACGTCCACGACCACGTCCCATGACCACGTCCTCGTCCACGTCCACAACCACGTCCCAGGACCACGTCCACAACCACGTCCCAGGACCACGTCCACGTCCACGTCCACGAACACGTCCACGTCCACGACCACGACCACGACCACCTCCACGACCACGTCCACGTCCACGACCACGTCCACGTCCACCACCACGTCCACGTCCACGTCCACGTCTACGACCACGTCCACGTCCACGTCCACCACCACGTCCACGTCCACGTCCACGTACACGTCCACGACCACGTCCACGTCCACGTCCACGTCCACGTCCACGACCACGTCCACGTCCACGACCACGACCACGTCCACGAACACGTCCACGACCACGACCACGACCACGTCCACGTTCACGTCCACGACCACGTCCACGTCCACGACCACGTCCACGACCACGACCACGTCCACGTCCACGACCACGTCCACGACCACGTCCACGTCCACGACCACGTCGACGACCACGTCCACGACCACGTCCACGTCCACGTCCACGACCACGACCACGTCCATGACCACGACCACGACCACGAACACGTCCACGTCCACGTCCACGTCCACGTCCACGTCCACGTCCACGTCCACGTCCACGACCACGTCCACGTCCACGACCACGACCACGTCCACGTCCACGACCACGTCCACGTCCACGACCACGACCACGTCGACGACCACGACCACGAACACGTCCACGTACACGTCCACGACCACGTCCACGTCCACGTCCACGTCCACGTCCACGTCCACGACCACGTCCACGTCCACGACCACGTCCACGTCCACGACCACGTCCACGACCACGACCACGACCACGTCGACGACCACGACCACGAACACGTCCACGTACACGTCCACGACCACGTCCACGTCCACGTCCACGTCCACGTCCACGACCACGTCCACGTCCACGACCACGACCACGTCCACGTCCACGACCACGTCCACGTCCACGACCACGACCACGTCGACGACCACGTCCACGACCACGTCCAAGTCCACGTCCACGACCACGTCCACGTCCACGACCACGTCGACGACCACGTCCACGTCCACGTCCACGTCCACGACCACGTCCACGACCACGATCACGACCACGTCCACGTCCACGACCAAGTCCACGTCCACGTCCACGACCAAGTCCACGTCCACGTCCACGACCACGTTCACGTCCACGTCCAAGTACACGACCACGTCCACGTCCACGTCCACGACCACGTCCACGTCCACGTCCACGTCCACGATCACGTCCACGTCCACGTCCACGACCATGTCCACGTCCACGTCCACGTCCACGTCCACGTCCACGACCACGTCCACGACCACGACCACGACCACGAACACGTCCACGTCCACGACCACGTCCACGTCCACGACCACGACCACGTCCACGTCCACGACCACGACCACGTCGACGACCACGTCCACGACCACGTCCAAGTCCACGTCCACGACCACGTCCACGTCCACGTGCACGTCCACGACCACGTCCCATGACCACGTCCACGTCCACGTCCACGAACACGTCCACGTCCACGACCACGACCACGACCACGTCCACGACCACGTCCACGTCCACGACCACCACCACGTCCACGTCCACGACCACGTCCACGTCCACGACCACGTCCACGACCACGTCCACGTCCACGTCCACGTCCACGACCACGTCCACGTCCACGTCGACGACCACGTCCACGACCACGACCACGATCACGACCACGTCCACGTCCACGTCCACGTCCACGACCACGACCTCGACCACGTCAACGTCCACGTCCACGTCCACGTCCACGTCCACGTCCACGACCACGACCAAGTCCACGTCCACGTCCACGACCACGACCACTCCACGTCCACGACCACGACCACGTCCACGTCCACGACCACGACCACGTCCACGTCCACGTCCACGACCACGTCCACGTCCACGACCACGTCCACATCCACGACCACGACCAGGTCCACGACCACGTCCACGACCACGACCACGACCACGTCCACGTCCACGACCACGACCACCTCCACGTCCACGACCACGTCCACGTCCACGACCACGTCCACGTCGACGACCACGACCACGACCACGACCACGTCCACGACCACGTCCACGTCCACGTCCTCGACCACGTCCACGTCCACGACCACGACACGTCCACGTCCACGTCCACGTCCACGACCACGTCCACGTCCACGTCCACGACCACGTCCACGACCACGTCCACGTCCACAACCACGACCACGACCACGTCCACGACCACGTCCAAGTCCACATCCACGACCACATCGACGTCCACGACCACGTCCACGTCCACGTCCACGTCCACGTCGACGACTACGTCCAGGTCCACGACCACGTCCACGTCCACGTCCACGACCACGTCCACGACCACGTCCACGTCCACGTCCACGTCCAAGTCCACGTCCACGTCCACGTCCACGACCACGTCCACGACCACGTCCACGTCCACGACCACGTCCACGACCACGTCCACGTCCACGTCCACGACCACGACCACGTCCACGTCCACGACCACGTCCACGTCCACGTTCACGACCACGACCACGTCCACGTCCACGACCACGACCACCTCCACGTCCACGACCACGTCCACGTCGACGACCACGTCCACGTCGACGACCACGTCCACGACCACGTCGACGACCACGTCCACGACCACGACCACGTCCACTTCCACGTCCACGACCACGACCACGTCCACGACCACGTCGACGACCACGTCCACGTCCACGTCCACGTCCACGTCCAAGTCCACGTCCACGTCCACGTCGACGACCACGTCCACGTCCACGTCCACGTCCACGTCCACGTCCACGACCACGTCCACGTCCACGTCCACGTCCACGTCCACGACCACGTCCACTTCCACTTCCACGTCGACGACCACGACCACGTCCACGTCCACGTCCACGTCCACGACCACGTCCACGACCACAACCACGATCACGTTGACGACCACGTGCACGACCACGACCACGTCCACGTCCACGTCCACGACCACGACCACGTCCACGTCGACGACCACGTCGACGACCACGTCGACGACCACGTGCACGTCCACGACCACGTCCACGTCCATGTCCACGTCCACGACCACGTCCACGTCCACGACCACGTCCACGTCCACGTCCAAGTCCACGTCCACGTCCAAGTCCACGTCCACGTCCACGTCCACGACCACGTCAACGTCCAGGACCACGTCCACGTCCAAGTCCACGTCCACGTCCACGTCCACGACCACGTCCAAGTCCACGTCCACGTCCACGACCACGTCCACGACCACGTCCACGTCCACGTCCACGTCCACGTCCACGTCCACGACCACGTCCACGTCCACGTCCACGTCCACGACCACGTCCACGTCCACGTCCACGACCACGTCCACGTCCACGACCACGACCTTGTCCACATCCACGTCCACGTCCACGTCGACGACCACGTCGACGACCACGACCACGACCACGACCACGTCCACGTCGACGACCACGACCACGACCACGTCCACGACCACGTCCACGTCCACGTCCTCGACCACGTCCACGTCCACGACCACGACCACGACCACGTCCACGTCCACGTCCACGTCCACGTCCACGTCCACGTCCACGACCACATCGACGTCCACGACCACGTCCACGTCCACGTCCACGTCGACGACCACGTCCAGGTCCACGACTACGTCCACGTCCACGACCACGTCCACGACCACGTCGACGTCCACGTCCAAGTCCACGTCCACGTCCACGACCACGTCCACGACCACGTCCACGTCCACGTCCACGACCACGTCCACGTCCACGAGCACGTCCACGACCACGTCCACGTCCACGACCACGTCCACGACCACGTCCACGTCCACGTCGACGTCCACGTCCACGACCACGACCACGACCACGTCCAACCACGTCAACGTCCACGACCACGTCCACGTCCACGTCCACGTCCACGACCACGTCCACGTCCACGACCACGTCCACGTCCACGTCCACGACCACGTCCACGAACACGTCCACGTCCACGACCACGTCCACGTCCACGACCACGACCACCTCCACGTCCACAACCACGTCCACGTCCACGACCACGACCACGTCCACGACCACGTCCACGTCCACGTCGACGTCCACGTCCACGACCACAACCACGACCACGACCACGTCAACGTCCACGTCCACGTCCACGACCACGACCACGACCACGTCCACGTCCACGTCCACGTTCACGTCAACGACCACGTCCACGTCTACGACCACGTCTACGACCACGTCCACGACCACGTCCACGACCACGTCCACGACCACGACCACGTCCACGTCCACGTCCACGACCACGACCACGTCCACGTCCACGTCCACGACCACGTCCACGTCCACGTCCACGACCACGACCACGTCCCCGTCCACGTCCACGACCACGACCACGTCCACGTCCACGACCACGACCACGTCCACGACCACGACCACGTCCACGTCCACGTCCACGACCACGTCCACGACCACGTCCACGTCCACGTCCACGACCACGTCCACGACCACGTCCACGTCCACGACCACCTCCACGTCCACGACCACGACCACCTCCACGTCCACGACCACGTCCACGTCCACGACCACGTCCACGTCGACGACCACGTCCACGACCACGTCGACGACCACGTGCACGTCCACGACCACGTCCACGTCCACGTCCACGTCCACGACCACATCCACGACCACGTCCACGACCGCGTCAACGACCACGTCCACGACCACGTCAACGACCACGTCCATGACCACGTCAACGACCACGTCCACGACCACGTCCACGTCCACGACCACGTCCTCGACCACGTCCACGTCCACGTCCACGACCACGTCCACAAACACGTCCACGTCCACGACCACGTCCACGTCCACGACCACGACCACCTCCACGTCCACGACCACGTCCACGTCCACGACCACGTCCACGTCGACGACCACGTCCACGACCACGTCGACGACCACGTGCACGTCCACGACCACGTCCACGTCCACGTCCACGTCCACGACCACATCCACGACCACGTCCACGACCACGTCAACGACCACGTCCACGACCACGTCAACGACCACGTCCATGACCACGTCAACGACCACGTCCACGACCACGTCCACGTCCACGACCACGACCACGTCCACGTCCACGTCCACGTCCACGTCCACGTCCACGACCACGTCCACGACCACGTCCACGTCCACGACCACGTCCACGACCACGTCCACGTCCACGTCCACGTCCACGACCACAACCACGTCCACGACCACGTCCACGTCCACGTCGACGACCACGTCCACGACCACGACCACGACCACGATCACGACCACGTCCACGTCCACGTCCACGTCCACGTCCACGTCCACGACCACGACCTCGTCCACGTCAACGTCCACGTCCACGACCACGTCCACGTCCACGTCCACGTCCACGACCACGACCACGTCCACGTCCACGTTCACGACCACGACCACCTCCACGTCCACGACCACGACCACGTCCACGTCCACGTCCACGACCACGACCACGTCCACGTCCACGTCCACGACCACGTCCACGTCCACGACCACGTCCACGTCCACGACCACGACCAGGTCCACGACCACGTCCACGACCACGACCACGTCCACGTCCACGACCACGACCACCTCCACGTCCACGACCACGTCCACGTCCACGACCACGTCCACGTCGACGACCACGACCACGACCACGTCCACGACCACGTCCACATCCACGTCCACGACCACGACCACGTCCACGTCCACGTTCACGACCACGTCCACGTCCACGTTCACGACCACGACCACATCCACGTCCACGACCACGACCACGTCCACGTCCACGACCACGACCACGACCACGTCCACGTCCACGTCCACGACCACGTCCACGTCCACGACCACGTCCACGTCCACGACCACGACCAGGTCCACGACCACGTCCACGACCACGACCACGACCACGTCCACGTCCACGACCACGACCACCTCCACGTCCCTGACCACGTCCACGTCCACGACCACGTCCACGTCGACGACCACGACCACGACCACGTCCACGACCACGTCCACGTCCACGTCCTCGACCACGTCCACGTCCACGACCACGACACGTCCACGTCGAAGTCCAAGTCCAAGACCACATCCACGACCACGTCCACGTCCACGTCTACGACCACATCGACGTCCACGACCACGTCCACGTCCACGTCCAAGTCCACGTCGACGACCACGTCCAGGTCCACGACCACGTCCACGTCGACGACCACGTCCACGACCACGTCGACGTCCACGTCCAAGTCCACGTCCACGTCCACAACCACGTCCACGACCACGTCCACGACCACGTCCACGTCCACGACCACGTCCACGACCACGTCCACGTCCACGTGCACGTCCACGACCACGACCACGTCCACGACCACGTCCACGACCACGTCGACGACCACGTCCTCGACCACGACCACGATCACGACCACGTCCACGTCCACGTCCACGTCCACGTCCACGACCACGACCTCGACCACGTCAACGTCCACGACCACGTCCACGACCACGTCCACGTCCACGTCCACGTCCACGACCACGTCCACGTCCACGACCACGTCCACGACCACGTCCACGTCCACGACCACGACCTTGTCCACATCCACGTCCACGTCCACGTCGACGACCACGTCGACGACCACGACCACGACCACGACCACGACCACGTCCACGTCGACGACCACGACCACGACCACGTCCACGACCACGTCCACGTCCACGTCCTCGACCACGTCCACGTCCACGACCACGACCACGTCCACGTCCACGTCCACGACCACGTCCACGTCCACGTCCACGACCACGTCCACGACCACGTCCACGACCACGTCCACGACCACGACCACGTCCACGACCACGTCCACGTCCACGTCCACGTCCACGACCACGACCACGTCCACGTCCACGACCACGTGCACGACCACGTCCACGGCCACGTCCACGACCACGACCACGTCCACGTCCACGTCCACGACCACGTCCACGTCCACGACCACGTCCACGTCCACGTCCACGTCCACGACCACGTCCACGTCCACGACCACGTCCACGTCCACGACCACGTCCACGTCCACGTCCACGACCACGTCCACGTCCACGACCACGTCGACGTCCACGTCCACTTCCACGACCACGTCCACGTCCACGTCCACGTCGACGACCACGTCCACGACCACGTCCACGTCCACGTCCACGTCCACGTCCACGTCCACGACCACATCGACGTCCACGACCACGTCCACGTCCACGTCCACGTCGACGACCACGTCCAGGTCCACGACTACGTCCACGTCCACGACCACGTCCACGACCACGTCGACGTCCACGTCCAAGTCCACGTCCACGTCCACGACCACGTCCACGACCACGTCCACGTCCACGTCCACGACCACGTCCACGTCCACGAGCACGTCCACGACCACGTCCACGTCCACGACCACGTCCACGACCACGTCCACGTCCACGTCGACGTCCACGTCCACGACCACGACCACGACCACGTCCAACCACGTCAACGTCCACGACCACGTCCACGTCCACGTCCACGTCCACGACCACGTCCACGTCCACGACCACGTCCACGTCCACGTCCACGACCACGTCCACGAACACGTCCACGTCCACGACCACGTCCACGTCCACGACCACGACCACCTCCACGTCCACAACCACGTCCACGTCCACGACCACGACCACGTCCACGACCACGTCCACGTCCACGTCGACGTCCACGTCCACGACCACAACCACGACCACGACCACGTCAACGTCCACGTCCACGTCCACGACCACGACCACGACCACGTCCACGTCCACGTCCACGTTCACGTCAACGACCACGTCCACGTCTACGACCACGTCTACGACCACGTCCACGACCACGTCCACGACCACGTCCACGACCACGACCACGTCCACGTCCACGTCCACGACCACGACCACGTCCACGTCCACGTCCACGACCACGTCCACGTCCACGTCCACGACCACGACCACGTCCCCGTCCACGTCCACGACCACGACCACGTCCACGTCCACGACCACGACCACGTCCACGACCACGACCACGTCCACGTCCACGTCCACGACCACGTCCACGACCACGTCCACGTCCACGTCCACGACCACGTCCACGACCACGTCCACGTCCACGACCACCTCCACGTCCACGACCACGACCACCTCCACGTCCACGACCACGTCCACGTCCACGACCACGTCCACGTCGACGACCACGTCCACGACCACGTCGACGACCACGTGCACGTCCACGACCACGTCCACGTCCACGTCCACGTCCACGACCACATCCACGACCACGTCCACGACCACGTCAACGACCACGTCCACGACCACGTCAACGACCACGTCCACGACCACGTCAACGACCACGTCCACGACCACGTCCACGTCCACGACCACGTCCACGACCACGTCCACGTCCACGTCCACGACCACGTCCACAAACACGTCCACGTCCACGACCACGTCCACGTCCACGACCACGACCACCTCCACGTCCACGACCACGTCCACGTCCACGACCACGTCCACGTCGACGACCACGTCCACGACCACGTCGACGACCACGTGCACGTCCACGACCACGTCCACGTCCACGTCCACGTCCACGACCACATCCACGACCACGTCCACGACCACGTCAACGACCACGTCCACGACCACGTCAACGACCACGTCCATGACCACGTCAACGACCACGTCCACGACCACGTCCACGTCCACGACCACGACCACGTCCACGTCCACGTCCACGTCCACGTCCACGTCCACGACCACGTCCACGACCACGTCCACGTCCACGACCACGTCCACGACCACGTCCACGTCCACGTCCACGTCCACGACCACGACCACGTCCACGACCACGTCCACGTCCACGTCGACGACCACGTCCACGACCACGACCACGATCACGACCACGTCCACGTCCACGTCCACGTCCACGTCCACGTCCACGACCACGACCTCGTCCACGTCAACGTCCACGTCCACGACCACGTCCACGTCCACGTCCACGTCCACGACCACGACCACGTCCACGTCCACGTTCACGACCACGACCACCTCCACGTCCACGACCACGACCACGTCCACGTCCACGTCCACGACCACGACCACGTCCACGTCCACGTCCACGACCACGTCCACGTCCACGACCACGTCCACGTCCACGACCACGACCAGGTCCACGACCACGTCCACGACCACGACCACGTCCACGTCCACGACCACGACCACCTCCACGTCCACGACCACGTCCACGTCCACGACCACGTCCACGTCGACGACCACGACCACGACCACGTCCACGACCACGTCCACATCCACGTCCACGACCACGTCCACGTCCACGTTCACGACCACGTCCACGTCCACGTTCACGACCACGACCACATCCACGTCCACGACCACGACCACGTCCACGTCCACGACCACGACCACGACCACGTCCACGTCCACGTCCACGACCACGTCCACGTCCACGACCACGTCCACGTCCACGACCACGACCACGTCCACGACCACGTCCACGACCACGACCACGACCACGTCCACGTCCACGACCACGACCACCTCCACGTCCCTGACCACGTCCACGTCCACGACCACGTCCACGTCGACGACCACGACCACGACCACGACCACGTCCACGACCACGTCCACGTCCACGTCCTCGACCACGTCCACGTCCACGACCACGACACGTCCACGTCGAAGTCCAAGTCCAAGACCACATCCACGACCACGTCCACGTCCACGTCTACGACCACATCGACGTCCACGACCACGTCCACGTCCACGTCCAAGTCCACGTCGACGACCACGTCCAGGTCCACGACCACGTCCACGTCGACGACCACGTCCACGACCACGTCGACGTCCACGTCCAAGTCCACGTCCACGTCCACAACCACGTCCACGACCACGTCCACGACCACGTCCACGTCCACGACCACGTCCACGACCACGTCCACGTCCACGTCCACGTCCACGACCACGACCACGTCCACGACCACGTCCACGTCCACGTCGACGACCACGTCCTCGACCACGACCACGATCACGACCACGTCCACGTCCACGTCCACGTCCACGTCCACGTCCACGACCACGACCTCGACCACGTCAACGTCCACGACCACGTCCACGACCACGTCCACGTCCACGTCCACGTCCACGACCACGTCCACGTCCACGACCACGTCCACGTCCACGTCCACGACCACGTCGACGTCCACGTCCACGTCCACGACCACGTCCACGTCCACGTCCACGTCGACGACCACGTCCACGACCACGTCCACGTCCACGTCCACGTCCACGTCCACGACCACATCGACGTCCACGACCACGTCCACGTCAACGTCCACGTCGACGACCACGTCCAGGTCCACGACTACGTCCACGTCCACGACCACGTCCACGACCACGTCGACGTCCACGTCCAAGTCCACGTCCACGACCACGTCCACGACCACGTCCACGTCCACGACCACGTCCACGTCCACGAGCACGTCCACGACCACGTCCACGTCCACGACCACGTCCACGACCACGTCCACGTCCACGTCGACGTCCACGTCCACGACCACGACCACAACAACGACAACGACCACGTCCACGTCCACGTCCACGACCACGACCTCGACCACGTCAACGTCCACGACCACGTCCACGTCCACGTCCACGACCACGTCCACGTCCACGACCACGTCCACGTCCACGTCCACGACCACGTCCACGAACACGTCCACGTCCACGACCACGTCCACGTCCACGACCACGACCACCTCCACGTCCACGACCACGTCCACGTCCACGACCACGTCCACGACCACGTCCACGTCCACGTCGACGTCCACGTCCACGACCACAACCACGACCACGACCACGTCAACGTCCACGTCCACGTCCACGACCACGACCACGACCACGTCCACGTCCACGTCCACGTTCACGTCAACGACCACGTCCACGTCTACGACCACGTCTACGACCACGTCCACGACCACGTCCACGACCACGTCCACGACCACGACCACGTCCACGTCCACGACCACGTCCACGTCCACGTCCACGACCACGTCCACGAACACGTCCACGTCCACGACCACGTCCACGTCCACGACCACGACCACCTCCACGTCCACGACCACGTCCACGTCCACGACCACGTCCACGACCACGTCCACGTCCACGTCGACGTCCACGTCCACGACCACAACCACGACCACGACCACGTCAACGTCCACGTCCACGTCCACGACCACGACCACGACCACGTCCACGTCCACGTCCACGTTCACGTCAACGACCACGTCCACGTCGACGACCACGTCTACGACCACGTCCACGACCACGTCCACGACCACGTCCACGACCACGACCACGTCCACGTCCACGTCCACGACCACGTCCACGTCCACGTCCACGACCACGACCACGTCCCCGTCCACGTCCACGACCACGACCACGTCCACGTCCACGACCACGTCCACGACCACGACCACGTCCACGTCCACGTCCACGACCACGTCCACGACCACGTCCACGTCCACGTCCACGACCACGTCCACAAACACGTCCACGTCCACGACCACGTCCACGTCCACGACCACGACCACGTCCACGTCCACGACCACGTCCACGTCCACGACCACGTCCACGTCGACGACCACGTCCACGACCACGTCGACGACCACGTGCACGTCCACGACCACGTCCACGTCCACGTCCACGACCACGTCCACGACCACGTCAACGACCACGTCAACGACCACGTCCATGACCACGTCCACGTCCACGTCCACGACCACGACCACGTCAACGACCACGTCCACGACCACGTCCACGTCCACGTCGACGTCGACGTCGACGTCCACGTCCACGTCCACGTCCACGTTCACGTCCACGACCACGTCCACGACCACGTCCACGTCCACGTCCACGTCCACGACCACGACCACGTCCACGACCACGTCCACGTCCACGTCGACGACCACGTCCACGACCACGACCACGATCACGACCACGTCCACGTCCACGTCCACGTCCACGTCCACGACCACGACCTCGACCACGTCAACGTCCACGTCCACGACCACGTCCACGTCCACGTCCACGACCACGACCACGTCCACGTCCACGTTCACGACCACGGCCACATCCACGTCCACGACCACGTCCACGTCCACGTCCACGACCACGACCACGTCCACGTCCACGTCCAAGACCACGTCCACGTCCACGACCACGTCCACGTCCACGACCACGACCAGGTCCACGACCACGTCCACGACCACGACCACGACCACGTCCACGTCCACGACCACGACCACGTCCACGTCCACGACCACGTCCACGTCCACGACCACGTCCACGTCCACGACCACGACCACGACCATGTCCACGTCCACGTCCACGACTACGTCCACGTCCACGACCACGTCCACGTCCACGACCACGACCAGGTCCACGACCACGTCCACGACCACGACCACGACCACGTCCACGTCCACGACCACGACCACCTCCACGTCCCCGACCACGTCCACGTCCACGACCACGTCCACGTCGACGACCACGACCACGACCACGTCCACGACCACGTCCACGTCCACGTCCTCGACCACGTCCACGTCCACGACCACGACACGTCCACGTCGAAGTCCAAGTCCAAGACCACATCCACGACCACGTCCACGTCCACGTCCACGACCACATCGACGTCCACGACCACGTCCACGTCCACGTCCAAGTCCACGTCGACGACCACGTCCAGGTCCACGACCACGTCCACGTCGACGACCACGTCCACGACCACGTCGACGTCCACGTCCAAGTCCACGTCCACGTCCACGACCATGTCCACGACCACGTCCACGACCACGTCCACGTCCACGACCACGTCCACGACCACGTCCACGTCCACGTCCACGTCCACGACCACGACCACGTCCACGACCACGTCCACGTCCACGTCCACGTCGACGACCACGTCCTCGACCACGACCACGATCACGACCACGTCCACGTCCACGTCCACGTCCACGACCACGACCTCGACCACGTCAACGTCCACGACCACGTCCACGTCCACGTCCACGTCCACGTCCACGACCACGACCACGTCCACGTCCACGTTCACGTCAACGACCAGGTCCACGACCACGTCCACGACCACGTCCACGTCCACGTCCACGTCCACGTCCACGACCACGACCACGTCCACGTCCACGTCCACGTCCACGACCACGTCCACGTCCACGACCACGTCCACGTCGACGACCACGACCACGTCCACGTCCACGTCCACGTCCACGACCACGTCCACGTCCACGTCCACGTCCACGTGCACGACCACGACCACGTCCACGTCCACGACCACGTCCACGACCACGTGCACGACCACGTCCACGGCCACGTCCACGACCACGACCACGTCCACGTCCACGTCCACGACTACGTCCACGACCACGTCGACGTCCACGTCCAAGTCCACGTCCACGTCCACGACCACGTCCACGACCACGTCCACGTCCACGACCACGTCCACGTCCACGACCACGTCCACGACCACGTCCACGTCCACGTCCACGTCCACGACCACGACCACGTCCACGACCACGTCCACGTCCACGTCGACGACCACGTCCACGACCACGACCACGATCACGACCACGTCCACGTCCACGTCCACGTCCACGTCCACGTCCACGTCCACGACCACGACCTCGACCACGTCAACGTCCACGTCCACGACCACGTCCACGTCCACGTCCACGTCCACGACCACGTCCACGTCCACGTTCACGACCACGACCACATCCACGTCCACGACCACGACCACGTCCACGTCCACGTCCACGACCACGACCACGTCCACGTCCACGTCCACGACCACGTCCACGTCCACGACCACGTCCACGTCCACGACCACGACCAGGTCCACGACCACGTCCACGACCACGACCACGTCCACGTCCACGACCACGACCACCTCCACGTCCACGACCACGTCCACGTCCACGACCACGTCCACGTCGACGACCACGACCACGACCACGTCCACGACCACGTCCACGTCCTCGACCACGTCCACGTCCACGACCACGACACGTCCACGTCCACGTCCACGTCCACGTCCACGACCACGTCCACGTCCACGTCCACGACCACGTCCACGACCACGTCCACGTCCACAACCACGACCACGACCACGTCCACGACCACGTCCAAGTCCACGTCCACGACCACATCGACGTCCACGACCACGTCCACGTCCACGTCCAAGTCCACGTCGACGACCACGTCCAGGTCCACGACCACGTCCACGTCCACGTCCACGACCACGTCCACGACCACGTCGACGTCCACGTCCAAGTCCACGTCCACGTCCACGACCACGTCCACGACCACGTCCACGACCACGTCCACGTCCACGACCACGTCCACGACCACGTCCACGTCCACGTCCACGTCCACGTCACGACCACGTCCACGTCCACGACCACGTCCACGTCCACGTCCACGACCACGACCACGTCCACGTCCACGACCACGACCACCTCCACCTCCACGACCACGACCACGTCCACGTCCACGACCACGACCACGTCCACGTCCACGACCACGTCCACGTCCACGACCACGTCCACGTCCACGACCACGACCACGACCATGTCCACGTCCACGTCCACGACTACGTCCACGTCCACGACCACGTCCACGTCCACGACCACGACCAGGTCCACGACCACGTCCACGACCACGACCACGACCACGTCCACGTCCACGACCACGACCACCTCCACGTCCCCGACCACGTCCACGTCCACGACCACGTCCACGTCGACGACCACGACCACGACCACGTCCACGACCACGTCCACGTCCACGTCCTCGACCACGTCCACGTCCACGACCACGACACGTCCACGTCGAAGTCCAAGTCCAAGACCACATCCACGACCACGTCCACGTCCACGTCCACGACCACATCGACGTCCACGACCACGTCCACGTCCACGTCCAAGTCCACGTCGACGACCACGTCCAGGTCCACGACCACGTCCACGTCGACGACCACGTCCACGACCACGTCGACGTCCACGTCCAAGTCCACGTCCACGTCCACGACCATGTCCACGACCACGTCCACGACCACGTCCACGTCCACGACCACGTCCACGACCACGTCCACGTCCACGTCCACGTCCACGACCACGACCACGTCCACGACCACGTCCACGTCCACGTCGACGACCACGTCCTCGACCACGACCACGATCACGACCACGTCCACGTCCACGTCCACGTCCACGTCCACGACCACGACCTCGACCACGTCAACGTCCACGACCACGTCCACGTCCACGTCCACGTCCACGTCCACGACCACGACCACGTCCACGTCCACGTTCACGTCAACGACCAGGTCCACGACCACGTCCACGACCACGTCCACGTCCACGTCCACGTCCACGTCCACGACCACGACCACGTCCACGTCCACGTCCACGTCCACGACCACGTCCACGTCCACGACCACGTCCACGTCGACGACCACGACCACGTCCACGTCCACGTCCACGTCCACGACCACGTCCACGTCCACGTCCACGTCCACGTGCACGACCACGACCACGTCCACGTCCACGACCACGTCCACGACCACGTGCACGACCACGTCCACGGCCACGTCCACGACCACGACCACGTCCACGTCCACGTCCACGACTACGTCCACGACCACGTCGACGTCCACGTCCAAGTCCACGTCCACGTCCACGACCACGTCCACGACCACGTCCACGTCCACGACCACGTCCACGTCCACGACCACGTCCACGACCACGTCCACGTCCACGTCCACGTCCACGACCACGACCACGTCCACGACCACGTCCACGTCCACGTCGACGACCACGTCCACGACCACGACCACGATCACGACCACGTCCACGTCCACGTCCACGTCCACGTCCACGACCACGACCTCGACCACGTCAACGTCCACGTCCACGACCACGTCCACGTCCACGTCCACGTCCACGACCACGTCCACGTCCACGTTCACGACCACGACCACATCCACGTCCACGACCACGACCACGTCCACGTCCACGTCCACGACCACGACCACGTCCACGTCCACGTCCACGACCACGTCCACGTCCACGACCACGTCCACGTCCACGACCACGACCAGGTCCACGACCACGTCCACGACCACGACCATGTCCACGTCCACGACCACGACCACCTCCACGTCCACGACCACGTCCACGTCCACGACCACGTCCACGTCGACGACCACGACCACGACCACGTCCACGACCACGTCCACGTCCTCGACCACGTCCACGTCCACGACCACGACACGTCCACGTCCACGTCCACGTCCACGTCCACGACCACGTCCACGTCCACGTCCACGACCACGTCCACGACCACGTCCACGTCCACAACCACGACCACGACCACGTCCACGACCACGTCCAAGTCCACGTCCACGACCACATCGACGTCCACGACCACGTCCACGTCCACGTCCAAGTCCACGTCGACGACCACGTCCAGGTCCACGACCACGTCCACGTCCACGTCCACGACCACGTCCACGACCACGTCGACGTCCACGTCCAAGTCCACGTCCACGTCCACGACCACGTCCACGACCACGTCCACGACCACGTCCACGTCCACGACCACGTCCACGACCACGTCCACGTCCACGTCCACGTCCACGTCCACGTTCACGACCACGTCCACGTCCACGACCACGTCCACGTCCACGTCCACGACCACGACCACGTCCACGTCCACGACCACGACCACCTCCACGTCCACGACCACGTCCACGTCCACGAGCACGTCCACGTCGACGACCACGTCCACGACCACGTCGACGACCACGTCCACGACCACGACCACGTCCACTGCCACGTCCACGACCACGACCACGTCCACGACCACGTCCACGACCACGTCCACGTCCACGTCCACGTCCACGTCCAAGTCCACGTCCACGTCCACGTCGACGACCACGTCCACGTCCAAGTCCACGTCCACGTCCACGTCGACGACCACGTCCACGTCCACGTCCACGTCCACGACCACGTCCACTTCCACTTCCACGTCGACGACCACGACCACGTCCACGTCCACGTCCACGACCACGTCCACGACCACGACCACGATCACGTTGACGACCACGTGCACGACCACGACCACGTCCACGTCCACGTCCACGACCACGACCACGTCCACGTCGACGACCACGTCGACGACCACGTCGACGACCACGTGCACGTCCACGACCACGTCCACGTCCATGTCCACGTCCTTGACCACGTCCACGTCCACGACCACGTCCACGTCCAAGTCCACGTCCACGTCCAAGTCCACGTCCACGTCCACATCCACGTCCACGACCACGTCCACGTCCAGGACCACGTCCACGTCCAAGTCCACGTCCACGTCCACGTACACGACCACGTCCAAGTCCACGTCCACGTCCACGACCACGTCCACGACCACGTCCACGTCCACGTCCACGTCCACGTCCACGTCCACGACCACGTCCACGTCCACGTCCACGTCCACGACCACGTCCACGTCCACGACCACGACCACGTCCACATCCACGTCCACGTCCACGTCGACGACCACGTCGACGACCACGACCACGACCACGTCCACGACCACGTCCACGTCGACGACCACGACCACGACCACGTCCACGACCACGTCCACGTCCACGTCCTCGACCACGTCCACGTCCACGACCACGACCACGTCCACGTCCACGTCCACGTCCACGTCCACGACCACGTCCACGTCCACGTCCACGACCACGTCCACGACCACGTCCACGTCCACGACCACGACCACGACCACGTCCACGACCACGTCCACGTCCACGTCCACGTCCACGACCACGACCACGTCCACGTCCACGACCACGTGCACGACCACGTCCACGGCCACGTCCACGACCACGACCACGTCCACGTCCACGTCCACGACCACGTCCACGTCCACGACCACGTCCACGTCCACGTCCACGACCACGTCCACGTCCACGACCACGTCCACGTCCACGACCACGTCCACGTCCACGTCCACGACCACGTCCACGTCCACGACCACGTCGACGTCCACGTCCACGTCCACGTCCACGTCGACGACCACATCCAGGTCCACGACTACGTCCACGACCACGTCCACGACCACGTCGACGTCCACGTCCAAGTCCACGTCCACGTCCACGACCACGTCCACGACCACGTCCACGTCCACGTCCACGACCACGTCCACGTCCACGAGCACGTCCACGACCACGTCCACGACCACGTCCACGACCACGTCCACGTCCACGTCGACGTCCACGTCCACGACCACGACCACAACAACGACCACGACTACGTCCACGTCCACGTCCACGTCCACGACCACGACCTCGACCACGTCAACGTCCACGACCACGTCCACGTCCACGTCCACGTCCACGACCACGTCCACGTCCACGACCACGTCCACGTCCACGTCCACGACCACGTCCACGAACACGTCCACGTCCACGACCACGTCCACGTCCACGACCACGACCACCTCCACGTCCACGACCACGTCCACGTCCACGACCACGACCACGTCCACGACCACGTCCACGTCCACGTCGACGTCCACGTCCACGACCACGACCACGACCACGACCACGTCAACGTCCACGTCCACGTCCACGACCACGACCACGACCACGTCCACGTCCACGTCCACGTTCACGTCAACGACCACGTCCACGTCTACGACCACGTCCACGACCACGTCCACGACCACGTCCACGACCACGACCACGTCCACGTCCACGTCCACGACCACGTCCACGTCCACGACCACGACCACGTCCCCGTCCACGTCCACGACCACGACCACGTCCACGTCCACGACCACGACCACGTCCACGACCACGACCACGTCCACGTCCACGTCCACGACCACGTCCACGACCACGTCCACGTCCACGACCACGTCCACAAACACGTCCACGTCCACGACCACGTCCACGTCCACGACCACGACCACCTCCACGTCCACGACCACGTCCACGTCCACGACCACGTCCACGTCGACGACCACGTCCACGACCACGTCGACGACCACGTGCACGTCCACGACCACGTCCACGTCCACGTCCACGTCCACGACCACGTCCACGACCACGTCCACGACCACGTCAACGACCACGTCCATGACCACGTCCACGTCCACGACCACGTCGACGTCGACGACCACGACCACGACCACGTCCATGACCACGTCCACGTCCACGACCACGTCCACGTCGACGACCACGACCACGACCACGTCAACGTCCACGTCCACGTCCACGACCACGACCACGACCACGTCCACGTCCACGTCCACGTTCACGTCAACGACCACGTCCACGTCTACGACCACGTCCACGACCACGTCCACGACCACGTCCACGACCACGACCACGTCCACGTCCACGTCCACGACCACGTCCACGTCCACGACCACGACCACGTCCCCGTCCACGTCCACGACCACGACCACGTCCACGTCCACGACCACGACCACGTCCACGACCACGACCACGTCCACGTCCACGTCCACGACCACGTCCACGACCACGTCCACGTCCACGACCACGTCCACAAACACGTCCACGTCCACGACCACGTCCACGTCCACGACCACGACCACCTCCACGTCCACGACCACGTCCACGTCCACGACCACGACCACGTCAACGACCACGTCCACGACCACGTCCACGTCCACGTCGACGTCGACGTCGACGTCCACGTCCACGTCCACGTCCACGTCGACGACCACGTCCACGACCACGTCGACGACCACGTGCACGTCCACGACCACGTCCACGTCCACGTCCACGTCCACGTCCACGCCCACGACGACGTCCACGTCCACGTCCACGTCCACGACGACGACCACGTGCACGTCCACGTCCACGTCCACGTCCACGTCCACGTCCACGTCCACGTCCACGTCGACGACCACGTCCACGTCCACGTCCACGTCCACGACCACGACCTCGACCACGTCAACGTCCACGACCACGTCCACGTCCACGTCCACGACCACGTCCACGTCCACGACCACGTCCACGTTCACGTCCACGACCACGTCCACGAACACGTCCACGTCCACGACCACGTCCACGTCCACGACCACGACCACCTCCACGTCCACGACCACGTCCACGTCCACGACCACGACCACGTCCACGACCACGTCCACGTCCACGTCGACGTCCACGTCCACGACCACGTCCACGACCACGACCACGTCCACGTCCACGTCCACGTCCACGACCACGACCACAACCACGTCCACGTCCACGTCCACGTTCACGTCAACGACCACGTCCACGTCTACGACCACGTCTACGACCACGTCCACGACCACGTCCACGACCACGTCCACGACCACGACCACGTCCACGTCCACGTCCACGACCACGTCCACGTCCACGTCCACGACCACGACCACGTCCCCGTCCACGTCCACGACCACGTCCACGACCACGACCACGTCCACGTCCACGTCCACGACCACGTCCACGTCCACGTCCACGACCACGACCACGTCCCCGTCCACGTCCACGACCACGACCACGTCCACGTCCACGACCACGACCACGTCCACGACCACGACCACGTCCACGTCCACGTCCACGACCACGTCCACGACCACGTCCACGTCCACGTCCACGACCACGTCCACAAACACGTCCACGTCCACGACCACGTCCACGTCCACGACCACGACCACGTCCACGTCCACGACCACGTCCACGTCCACGACCACGTCCACGTCGACGACCACGTCCACGACCACGTCGACGACCACGTGCACGTCCACGACCACGTCCACGTCCACGTCCACGACCACGTCAACGACCACGTCCATGACCACGTCCACGTCCACGTCCACGACCACGACCACGTCCACGTCCACGACCACGACCACGTCAACGACCACGTCCACGACCACGTCCACGTCCACGTCGACGTCCACGTCCACGTCCACGTCCACGTCCACGTCCACGTCCACGACCACGTCCACGACCACGTCCACGTCCACGTCCACGTCCACGACCACGACCACGTCCACGACCACGTCCACGTCCACGTCGACGACCACGTCCACGACCACGACCACGATCACGACCACGTCCACGTCCACGTCCACGTCCACGTCCACGACCACGACCTCGACCACGTCAACATCCACGTCCACGACCACGTCCACGTCCACGTCCACGACCACGACCACGTCCACGTCCACGTTCACGACCACGACCACGTCCACGTCCACGACCACGACCACGTCCACGTCCACGTCCACGACCACGACCACGTCCACGTCCACGTCCACGACCACGTCCACGTCCACGACCACGTCCACGTCCACGACCACGACCAGGTCCACGACCACGTCCACGACCACGACCATGTCCACGTCCACGACCACGACCACCTCCACGTCCACGACCACGTCCACGTCCACGACCACGTCCACGTCGACGACCACGACCACGACCACGACCACGTCCACGACCACGTCCACGTCCACGTCCACGACCACGTCCACGACCACGTCCACGACCACGTACACGTCCACGACCACGACCACGTCCACGTCCACGTCCACGTCCACGACTACGTCCACGTCCACGACCACGTCCACGTCCACGTCCACGACCACGACCACGACCACGTCCACGACCACGACCACGACCACGTCCACGTCCACGACCACGACCACCTCCACGTCCCCGACCACGTCCACGTCCACGACCACGTCCACGTCGACGACCACGACCACGACCACGTCCACGACCACGTCCACGTCCACGTCCTCGACCACGTCCACGTCCACGACCACGACACGTCCACGTCGAAGTCCAAGTCCAAGACCACATCCACGACCACGTCCACGTCCACGTCCACGACCACATCGACGTCCACGACCACGTCCACGTCCACGTCCAAGTCCACGTCGACGATCACGTCCAGGTCCACGACCACGTCCACGTCGACGACCACGTCCACGACCACGTCGACGTCCACGTCCAAGTCCACGTCCACGTCCACGACCACGTCCACGACCACGTCCACGACCACGTCCACGTCCACGACCACGTCCACGACCACGTCCACGTCCACGTCCACGTCCACGACCACGACCACGTCCACGACCACGTCCACGTCCACGTCGACGACCACGTCCTCGACCACGACCACGATCACGACCACGTCCACGTCCACGTCCACGTCCACGTCCACGACCACGACCTCGACCACGTCAACGTCCACGACCACGTCCACGTCCACGTCCACGTCCACGTCCACGACCACGACCACGTCCACGTCCACGTTCACGTCAACGACCAGGTCCACGACCACGTCCACGACCACGTCCACGTCCACGTCCACGTCCACGTCCACGTCCACGACCACGACCACGTCCACGTCCACGTCCACGTCCACGACCACGTCCACGTCCACGACCACGTCCACGTCCACGACCACGTCCACGTCCACGTCCACGTCCACGACCACGACCACGTCCACGACCACGTCCACGTCCACGTCCACGACCACGTCCACGTCCACGACCACGTCCACGTCCACGTCCACGACCACGTCCACGTCCACGTCCACGTCCACGTGCACGACCACGACCACGTCCACGTCCACGACCACGTCCACGACCACGTGCACGACCACGTCCACGGCCACGTCCACGACCACGACCACGTCCACGTCCACGTCCACGACTACGTCCACGACCACGTCGACGTCCACGTCCAAGTCCACGTCCACGTCCACGACCACGTCCACGACCACGTCCACGACCACGTCCACGTCCACGACCACGTCCACGACCACGTCCACGTCCACGTCCACGTCCACGACCACGACCACGTCCACGACCACGTCCACGTCCACGTCGACGACCACGTCCACGTCCACGTCCACGTGCACGACCACGACCACGTCCACGTCCACGACCACGTCCACGACCACGTGCACGACCACGTCCACGGCCACGTCCACGACCAAGTCCACGTCCACGTCCACGACCACGTCCACGACCACGTCCACGTCGACGTCCACGTCCACGACCACGACCACGTCCACGACCACGTCCACGTCCACGTCCACGTCCACGACCACGTCCACGTCCACGTCCACGTCCACGTGCACGACCACGACCACGTCCACGTCCACGACCACGTCCACGACCACGTGCACGACCACGTCCACGGCCACGTCCACGACCACGACCACGTCCACGTCCACGTCCACGACTACGTCCACGACCACGTCGACGTCCACGTCCAAGTCCACGTCCACGTCCACGACCACGTCCACGACCACGTCCACGTCCACGACCACGTCCACGTCCACGACCACGTCCACGACCACGTCCACGTCCACGTCCACGTCCACGACCACGACCACGTCCACGACCACGTCCACGTCCACGTCGACGACCATGTCCACGACCACGACCACGATCACGACCACGTCCACGTCCACGTCCACGTCCACGTCCACGACCACGACCTCGACCACGTCAACGTCCACGTCCACGACCACGTCCACGTCCACGTCCACGTCCACGACCACGACCACGTCCACGTCCACGTTCACGACCACGACCACATCCACGTCCACGACCACGACCACGTCCACGTCCACGTCCACGACCATGACCACGTCCACGTCCACGTCCACGACCACGTCCACGTCCACGACCACGTCCACGTCCACGACCACGACCAGGTCCACGACCACGTCCACGACCACGACCACGTCCACGTCCACGACCACGACCACCTCCACGTCCACGACCACGTCCACGTCCACGACCACGTCCACGTCGACGACCACGACCACGACCACGACCACGTCCACGACCACGTCCACGTCCACGTCCTCGACCACGTCCACGTCCACGACCACGACACGTCCACGTCCACGTCCACGTCCACGACCACGTCCACGTCCACGACCACGTCGACGACCACGTCCACGTCCACAACCACGACCACGACCACGTCCACGACCACGTCCAAGTTCACGTCCACGACCACATCGACGTCCACGACCACGTCCACGTCCACGTCCAAGTCCACGTCGACGACCACGTCCAGGTCCACGACCACGTCCACGTCCACGTCCACGACCACGTCCACGACCACGTCGACGTCCACGTCCAAGTCCACGTCCACGTCCACGACCACGTCCACGACCACGTCCACGTCCACGACCACGTCCACGTCCACGACCACGTCCACGACCACGTCCACGTCCACGTCCACGTTCACGACCACGTCCACGTCCACGACCACGTCCACGTCCACGTCCACGACCACGACCACGTCCACGACCACGACCACCTCCACGTCCACGACCACGTCCACGTCCACGACCACGTCCACGTCGACGAGCACGTCCACGACCACGTCGATGACCACGTCCACGACCACGACCACGTCCACTTCCACGTCCACGACCACGACCACGTCCACGACCACGTCCACGACCACGTCCACGTCCACGTCCACGTCCAAGTCCACGTCCACGTCCACGTCGACGACCACGTCCACGTCCACGTCCACGTCCACGTCCACGACCACGTCCACGTCCACGTCCACGTCCACGTCCACGACCACGTCCACTTCCACTTCCACGTCGACGACCACGACCACGTCCACGTCCACGTCCACGACCACGTCCACGACCACGACCACGATCACGTTGACGACCACGTGCACGACCACGACCACGTCCACGTCCACGTCCACGACCACGACCACGTCCACGTCGACGACCACGTCGACGACCACGTGCACGTCCACGACCACGTCTACGTCCATGTCCACGTCCACGACCACGTCCACGTCCACGACCACGTCCACGTCCAAGTCCACGTCCACGTCCAAGTCCACGTCCACGTCCACGTCCACGACCACGTCCACGTCCAGGACCACGTCCACGTCCAAGTCCACGTCCACGTCCACGTCCACGACCACGTCCAAGTCCACGTCCACGTCCACGACCACGTCCACGACCACGTCCATGTCCACGTCCACGTCCACGTCCACGTCCACGTCCACGACCACGTCCACGTCCACGTCCACGTCCACGACCACGTCCACGTCCACGTCCACGTCCACGACCACGTCCACGTCCACGTCCACGACCACGTCCACGTCCACGTCCACGACCACGTCCACGTCCACGACCACGACCACGTCCACGTCCACGTCCACGTCGACGACCACGTCGACGACCACGACCACGACCACGTCCACGACCACGTCCACGTCGACGACCACGACCACGTCCACGACCACGTCCACGTCCACGTCCTCGACCACGTCCACGTCCACGACCACGACTACGTCCACGTCCACGTCCACGTCCACGTCCACGACCACGTCCACGTCCACGTCCACGACCACGTCCACGACCACGTCCACGTCCACAACCACGACCACGACCACGTCCACGACCACCTCCACGTCCACGTCCACGTCCACGTCCACGACCACGACCACGTCCACGTCCACGACCACGTGCACGACCACGTCCACGGCCACGTCCACGACCACGACCACGTCCACGTCCACGTCCACGACCACGTCCACGTCCACGACCACGTCCACGTCCACGTCCACGACCACGACCACGTCCACGACCACGTCCACGTCCACGACCACGTCCACGTCCACGTCCACGACCACGTCCACGTCCACGTCCACGACCACGTCGACGTCCACGTCCACGTCCACGACCACGTCCACGTCCACGTCCACGTCGACGACCACGTCCACGACCACGTCCACGTCCACGTCCACGTCCACGTCCACGACCACATCGACGTCCACGACCACGTCCACGTCCACGTCCACGTCGACGACCACGTCCAGGTCCACGACTACGTCCACGTCCACGACCACGTCCACGACCACGTCGACGTCCACGTCCAAGTCCACGTCCACGTCCACGACCACGTCCACGACCACGTCCACGTCCACGTCCACGACCACGTCCACGTCCACGAGCACGTCCACGACCACGTCCACGTCCACGACCACGTCCACGACCACGTCCACGTCCACGTCGACGTCCACGTCCACGACCACGACCACAACAACGACCACGACCACGTCCACGTCCACGTCCACGTCCACGACCACGACCTCGACCACGTCAACGTCCACGACCACGTCCACGTCCACGTCCACGACCACGTCCACGTCCACGACCACGTCCACGTCCACGTCCACGACCACGTCCACGAACACGTCCACGTCCACGACCACGTCCACGTCCACGACCACGACCACCTCCACGTCCACGACCACGTCCACGTCCACGACCACGACCACGTCCACGACCACGTCCACGTCCACGTCGACGTCCACGTCCACGACCACAACCACGACCACGACCACGTCAACGTCCACGTCCACGTCCACGACCACGACCACGACCACGTCCACGTCCACGTTCACGTCAACGACCACGTCCACGTCTACGACCACGTCCACGACCACGTCCACGACCACGTCCACGACCACGTCCACGACCACGACCACGTCCACGTCCACGTCCACGACCACGTCCACGTCCACGTCCACGACCACGACCACGTCCCCGTCCACGTCCACGACCACGACCACGTCCACGACCACGACCACGTCCACGACCACGACCACGTCCACGTCCACGACCACGTCCACAAACACGTCCACGTCCACGACCACGTCCACGTCCACGACCACGACCACCTCCACGTCCACGACCACGTCCACGTCCACGACCACGTCCACGTCGACGACCACGTCCACGACCACGTCGACGACCACGTCCACGTCCACGACCACGTCCACGTCCACGTCCACGTCCACGACCACGTCCACGACCACGTCCACGTCCACGTCCACGACCACGTCCACGACCACGTCCACGACCACGTCAACGACCACGTCCATGACCACGTCCACGTCCACGTCCACGTCCACGTCCACGACCACGACCACGTCAACGACCACGTCCACGACCACGTCCACGTCCACGTCGACGTCGACGTCGACGTCCACGTCCACGTCCACGTCGACGACCACGTCCACGACCACGTCGACGACCACGTGCACGTCCACGACCACGTCCACGTCCACGTCCACGTCCACGTCCACGACCACGACCACGTCCACGTCCACGTCCACGTTCACGTCAACGACCACATCCACGTCTACGACCACGTCCACGACCACGTGCACGACCACGTCCACGACCACGTCCACGTCCACGTCCACGACCACGTCCACGTCCACGTCCACGACCACGACCACGTCCCCGTCCACGTCCACGACCACGACCACGTCCACGTCCACGACCACGACCACGTCCACGACCACGACCACGTCCACGTCCACGTCCACGACCACGTCCACGACCACGTCCACGTCCACGTCCACGACCACGTCCACAAACACGTCCACGTCCACGACCACGTCCACGTCCACGACCACGACCACGTCCACGTCCACGACCACGTCCACGTCCACGACCACGTCCACGACCACGTCGACGACCACGTGCACGTCCACGACCACGTCCACGTCCACGTCCACGTCGACGACCACGTCCACGACCACGTCCACGACCACGTCAACGACCACGTCCATGACCACGTCCACGTCCACGTCCACGACCACGACCACGTCAACGACCACGTCCACGACCACGTCCACGTCCACGTCGACGTCGACGTCCACGTCCACGTCCACGTCCACGTCGACGACCACGTCCACGACCACGTCGACGACCACGTGCACGTCCACGACCACGTCCACGTCCACGTCCACGTCCACGTCCACGACCACGTCCACGTCCACGTCCACGTCCACGTCGACGACAACGTCCACGACCACGACCACGACCACGTCCACGACCACGTCCACGTCCACGTCCTCGACCACGTCCACGTCCACGACCACGTCCACGTCCACGTCCACGACCACGTCCACGACCACGTCCACGTCCACGTCCACGACCACGACCACGTCCACGACCACGTCCACGTCCACGACCACGTCCACGTCCACGTCCACGACCACGTCCACGTCCACGTCCACGACCACGTCCACGTCCACGTCCACGACCACGTCCACGTCCACGACCACGTCCACGTCCACGACCACGTCCACGTCCACGTCCACGACCACGACCACGTCCACGACCACGTCCACGTCCACGTCCACGACCACGTCCACAAACACGTCCACGTCCACGACCACGTCCACGTCCACGACCACGACCACGTCCACGTCCACGACCACGTCCACGTCCACGACCACGTCCACGACCACGTCGACGACCACGTGCACGTCCACGACCACGTCCACGTCCACGTCCACGTCGACGACCACGTCCACGACCACGTCCACGACCACGTCAACGACCACGTCCATGACCACGTCCACGTCCACGTCCACGACCACGACCACGTCAACGACCACGTCCACGACCACGTCCACGTCCACGTCGACGTCGACGTCCACGTCCACGTCCACGTCCACGTCGACGACCACGTCCACGACCACGTCGACGACCACGTGCACGTCCACGACCACGTCCACGTCAACGACCACGTCCACGACCACGACCACGTCCACGACCACGACCACGTCCACGTCCACGTCCACGACCACGTCCACGACCACGTCCACGTCCACGTCCACGACCACGTCCACAAACACGTCCACGACCACGTCCACGTCCACGACCACGACCACCTCCACGTCCACGACCACGTCCACGTCCACGACCACGTCCACGTCGACGACCACGTCCACGACCACGTCGACGACCACGTGCACGTCCACGACCACGTCCACGTCCACGTCCACGTCGACGACCACGTCCACGACCACGTCCACGACCACGTCAACGACCACGTCCATGACCACGTCCACGTCCACGTCCACGACCACGACCACGTCAACGACCACGTCCACGACCACGTCCACGTCCACGTCGACGTCGACGTCCACGTCCACGTCCACGTCCACGTCGACGACCACGTCCACGACCACGTCGACGACCACGTGCACGTCCACGACCACGTCCACGTCCACGTCCACGTCCACGTCCACGACCACGTCCACGTCCACGTCCACGACCACGTCCACGACCACGACCACGTCCACGACCACGACCACGACCACGACCACGACCACGACCACGTCCACGACCACGACCACGACCACGTCCACGTCCACGACCACGTCCATGTCCACGTCCACGACCACGTCCACGTCCACGACCACGTCCACGACCACGTCCACGTCCACGACCACGTCCACGTCCACGACCACGTCCACGTCCACGTCCACGACCACGACCACGTGCACGACCACGTCCACGACCACTTCCAAGACCACGACCACGTCCACGTCCACGTCCACGACCACGTCCACGTCCACGTCGAAGACCACGACCACGTCCACGTCCACGTCCACGACCACGTCCACGTCCACGTCCACGTCCACGACCACGTCCACGACCACGTCCACGTCCACGTCCACGTCGACGTCCACGTCCACGACCACGTCCACGTCCACGTCCACGTCCACGACCACGTCGACGTCCACGACCACGTCCACGTCCACGTCCAAGTCCACGTCCACGACCACGTCCACGACCACGTCCACGTCCATGTCCAAGTCCACGACCACGTCCACGTCCACGTCCACGAACACGTGCACGTCCACGTCCACTTCCACGTCCACGACCACGTCCACGTCCACGTCCACGTCCACGACCACGTCCACGTCCACGTCCACGTCCACGTCCACGACCACGACCACGACCACGTCCACTTCCACGTCGACGACCACGACCACGTCCACGTCCACGTCCACGACCACGTCCACGTCCACGACCACGATCACGTTGACGACCACGTGCACGACCACGACCACGTCCACGTCCACGTCCACGACCACGACCACGTCCACGTCGACGACCACGTCGACGACCACGTGCACGTCCACGACCACGTCCACGTCCATGTCCACGTCCACGTCCACGACCACGTCCACGTCCACGACCACGTCCACGTCCACGTCCAAGTCCACGTCCACGTCCACGTCCACGACCACGTCCACGTCCAGGACCACGTCCACGTCCACGTCCAAGTCCACGTCCACGACCACGACCACGTCCACGAACACGTCGACGTCCACGACCACGACCACGTCCACGTCCAAGACCACGACCACGTCCACGTCCACGACCACGTCCACGTCCACGTCCACGTCCACGACCACGTCCTTGTCCACGTCCACGTCCACGACCACGTCCACGTCCACGACCACGTCCACGTCCACGTCCACGTCCACGTCCACGACCACGTCCACGACCACGACCACGACCACGTCCACGACCACGTCCACGTCCACGTCCTCGACCACGTCCACGTCCACGACCACGTCCACGTCCACGTCCACGTCCACGTCCTCGACCACGTCCACGTCCACGACCACGTCCATGTCCACGACCACGTCCACGTCCACGACCACGACCACGTCCACGTCGACGACCACGTCCACGACCACGTCCAAGACCACGTCCACGACCACGACCACGTCCACGAACACGTCCACGTCCACGACCACGACCACGTCCACGTCCAAGACCATGACCACGTCCACGACCACGTCCACGTCCACGTACACGTCCACGTCCACGACCACGACCACGACCACGTCCACGTCCACGACCACGACCACGTCCACGTCCACGACCACGTCCAGGTCCACGACCACGTCCAAGTCCACGTCCACGACCACGTCCACGTCCACGGCCACGACCACGTCCACGTCCACGTCCACGACCACGTCCACGTCCACGTCCACGTCCACGACCACGACCACGTCCACGTCGACGACCACGTCCACGACCACGTCCAAGACCACGTCCACGACCACGACCACGTCCACGAACACGACCACGTCCACGACCACGACCACGTCCACGTCCAAGACCACGACCACGTCCACGACCACGTCCACGACCACGATCACGTTGACGACCACGTGCACGACCACGACCACGTCCACGTCCACGTCCACGACCACGACCACGTCCACGTCGACGACCACGTCGACGACCACGTGCACGTCCACGACCACGTCCACGTCCATGTCCACGTCCACGTCCACGACCACGTCCACGTCCACGACCACGTCCACGTCCACGTCCAAGTCCACGTCCACGTCCACGTCCACGACCACGTCCACGTCCAGGACCACGTCCACGTCCACGTCCAAGTCCACGTCCACGACCACGACCACGTCCACGAACACGTCGACGTCCACGACCACGACCACGTCCACGTCCAAGACCACGACCACGTCCACGTCCACGACCACGTCCACGTCCACGTCCACGTCCACGACCACGTCCTTGTCCACGTCCACGTCCACGACCACGTCCACGTCCACGACCACGTCCACGTCCACGTCCACGTCCACGTCCACGACCACGTCCACGACCACGACCACGACCACGTCCACGACCACGTCCACGTCCACGTCCTCGACCACGTCCACGTCCACGACCACGTCCACGTCCACGTCCACGTCCACGTCCACGTCCTCGACCACGTCCACGTCCACGACCACGTCCATGTCCACGACCACGTCCACGTCCACGACCACGACCACGTCCACGTCGACGACCACGTCCACGACCACGTCCAAGACCACGTCCACGACCACGACCACGTCCACGAACACGTCCACGTCCACGACCACGACCACGTCCACGTCCAAGACCACGACCACGTCCACGACCACGTCCACGTCCACGTACACGTCCACGTCCACGACCACGACCACGACCACGTCCACGTCCACGACCACGACCACGTCCACGTCCACGACCACGTCCAGGTCCACGACCACGTCCAAGTCCACGTCCACGACCACGTCCACGTCCACGGCCACGACCACGTCCACGTCCACGTCCACGACCACGTCCACGTCCACGTCCACGTCCACGACCACGACCACGTCCACGTCGACGACCACGTCCACGACCACGTCCAAGACCACGTCCACGACCACGACCACGTCCACGAACACGTCCACGTCCACGACCACGACCACGACCACGTCCACGTCCAAGACCACGACCACGTCCACGACCACGTCCACGTCCACGTACACGTCCACGTCCACGACCACGACCACGACCACGACCACGTCCACGTCCAGGTCCACGACCACGTCCACGACCACGTCCAAGTCCACGTCCACGACCACGTCCCATGACCACGTCCACGTCCACGGCCACGACCACGACCACGTCCACGACCACGTCCACGTCCACGTCCACGACCACGTCCACGTCCACGTCCACGACCACGTCCACGTCCACGTCCACGACCACGACCACGTCCACGTCGACGACAACGTCCACGACCACGTCCAAGACCACGTCCACGACCACGACCACGTCCACGAACACGTCCACGTCCACGACCACGACCACGTCCACGTCCAAGACCACGACCAAGTCCACGTCCACGACCACGTCCACGTCCACGTCCACGACCACGTCCACGTCCACGTCCACGTCCACGACCACGACCACGTCCACGTCCACGTCCACGTCCACGTCGACGACAACGTCCACGACCACGACCACGACCACGTCCACGACCACGTCCACGTCCACGTCCTCGACCACGTCCACGTCCACGACCACGTCCACGTCCACGTCCACGACCACGTCCACGACCACGTCCACGTCCACGTCCACGACCACGACCACGTCCACGACCACGTCCACGTCCACGACCACGTCCACGTCCACGTCCACGACCACGTCCACGTCCACGTCCACGACCACGTCCACGTCCACGACCACGTCCACGTCCACGACCACGTCCACGTCCACGTCCACGACCACGACCACGTGCACGACCACGTCCACGACCACGACCACGTCCACGTCCACGACCACGTCCACGTCCACGTCCACGACCACGACCACGTCCACGTCCACGTCCACGACCACGTCCACGACCACGTCCACGTCCACGACCACGTCCACGTCCACGACCACGTCCACGTCCACGTCCACGACCACGACCACGTCCACGTCCACGTCCACGTCCACGTCCACGACCACGTCCACGTCGACGACCACGACCACGACCACGTCCACGACCACGTCCACGTCCACGTCCTCGACCACGTCCACGTCCACGACCACGACCACGTCCACGTCCACGTCCACGTCCACGTCCACGTCCACGACCACGTCCACGTCCACGACCACGACCACGTCCACGTCCACGTCCACGTCCACGACCACGTCCACGTCCACGACCACGTCCACGACCACGTCCATGTCCACGACCACGTCCACGTCCACGTCCACGTCCACGACCACGTCCACGTCCACGACCACGACCACGACCACGTCCACGACCACGTCTACGACCACGTCCACGTCCACGACCACGTCCACGTCCACGACCACGACCACGACCACGTCCACGTCCAAGACCACGACCACGTCCACGACCACGTCCACGTCCACGTCCACGTACACGTCCACGTCCACGACCACGACCACGACCACGACCACGTCCACGTCCACGACCACGTCCACGTCCACGTACACGTCCACGTCCACGACCACGACCACGACCACGTCCACGTCCACGACCACGACCACGTCCACGTCCACGACCACGTCCACGTCCACGACCACGTCCACGACCACGTCCAAGTCCACGTCCACGACCACGTCCCATGACAACGTCCACGTCCACGGCCACGACCACGACCACGTCCACGACCACGTGCACGACCACGACCACGTCCACGTCCACGTCCACGTCCACGACCACGACCACGTCCACGTCGACGACCATGTCGACGACCACGTGCACGTCCACGACCACGTCCACGTCCACGTCCACGTCCACGTCCACGACCACGTCCACGTCCACGACCACGTCCACGTCCACGTCCAGGACCACGTCCACGTCCACGTCCACGACCACGTCCACGTCCAGGACCACGTCCACGTCCACGTCCACGTCCACGTCCACGACCACGTCCAAGTCCACGTCCACGTCCACGACCACGTCCACGTCCACGACCACGTCCACGTCCACGTCCACGACCACGTCCACGTCCACGTCCACGTCCACGACCACGTCCACGTCCACGTCCACGACCACGTCCACGTCCACGACCACGACCACGTCCACATCCACGTCCACGTCGACGACCACGTCCACGACCACGACCACGACCACGTCCACGACCACGTCCACGTCCACGTCCTTGACCACGTCCACGTCCACGACCACGTCCACGACCACGTCCACGTCCACGACCACGTCGACGTCCACGACCACGTCCACGTCCACGTCGACGTCCACGTCCACGTCCACGTCCACGTCCACGACCACGTCGACGTCCACGACCACGTCCACGTCCACGTCCAAGTCCACGTCCACGTCCACGACCACGTCCACGACCACGTCCACGTCCACGTCCACGTCCAAGTCCACGACCACGTCCACGTCCACGTCCACGTCTACGTCCACGACCACGTCCACGTCCACTTCCACGTCGACGACCACGTCCACGTCCACGTCCACGTCCACGTCCACGACCACAACCACGACCACGTCCACTTCCACGTCGACGACCACGACCACGTCCACGTCCACGTCCACGACCACGTCCACGTCCACGACCACGACCACGATCACGTCGACGACCACGTGCACGACCACGACCACGTCCACGTCCACGACCACGACCACGTCCACGTCGACGACCACGTCGACGACCACGTGCACGTCCACGACCACGTCCACGACCACGTGCACGACCACGACCACGTCCACGACCACGTCCACGTCCACGACCACGTCCACGACCACGTCCACGTCCACGTCCACGACCACGTCCACGTCCACGACCACGACCACGACCACGTCCACGTCCACGTCCACGTCCACGATCACGTCCACGTCCACGACCACGTCCACGACCACGTCCACGTCCACGACCACGTCCACGTCCACGACCATGACCACGTCCACGTCCACGTCCACCTCGACGACCACGTCCACGACCACGATCACGTCCACGTCCACGACCACGTCCGGCCCCGCGACCCGCGACCCGCCCCTTAGCGGCCCCGTCGGCCCCGCGAGCTGCCCCTTAGCGGCCCCCTTACGGCCCCGTCGACCCCGCGCGCCGCCCCTTAGCGGCCCCTCACGGCCCCGTCGACCTCGCGTGCCGCCCCTTAGCGGCCCCTTACGGCCCCGTCGACCCCGCGCGCCGCCCCCTAGCGGCCCCTCACGGCCCCGTCGACCCCGCGCGCCGCCCCTTAGCGGCCCCTTACGGCCCCGTCGACCCCGCGCGCCGCCCCTTAGCGGCCCCTTACGGCCCCCGTCGACCCCGCGCACCGCCCCTTAGCGGCCCTTCTCGGCCCCGTCGACCCCGCACGCGCCCCATCTAGAGGCCCCGTCGGCCCCGTCGACCCCGCGCGCGCCCCACCCAACAGCCCCGCACGCGACAGCCACGGCCCCGCCAGAACCAAGCCGCCCGAACCGAGCCGCCCGAACCGAGCCGCCCAGCCCGAGCCGAGCCGCGCCGCCCGAACCGAGCCGCGCCGCCCTCCCCGTACTGAGCAGCCCCCTCTGGACCGAGCCGCCCTACCTGAGTCGCGCTGCCTGCTGCTTTTAGGGTTTCAACTGCTCCTACTGCTACTACTGCTCCTGCTCCTACTGCTACTATGGCTAGCCCTCCTGTGCTAGCTTTCGATGCTGAGGGCCGCCCAGTGAAGTTTGACACCTGGCTAGATGACCTGCACCTCTTCCTACAGCTCACTGCCAAGGAGGACATCTCACTGTACGATCACGCCCTAGGCCATGCCACTGCCCCTGCTGCTACTGCTGACAGCACTGCCCGCTCACAGTGGCAGACTCGTGACGCCCACGCTCGCTTTGCTATTCGCAACTCCCTGCCGATAGATGAGCGCGAGCACTTTGGCCAGCACAAGACTGCACAGGCACTGTACACTGCTGTTGTTGCCCGCTACTCCTCACCTGCCTCTGCCGCGCTAGGCCGTCTCTCACTCCCCTACCTGTTCCCCGACCTGTCCTCTTTCCACACAGTCGCTGACCTCATCACGCACCTCCGTACTAGTGAGGCCCGCTTCCGTGCCGCTATGCCCAATGAGTTTCTTGCCACGAACCCCCCCCCGCTCTGGCTCACTCTCTACCACCTAGTCACCCGCCTCCCTGACACTCTGCGTGCAGTCAGGGATCACTTCCTAGCTCGCTGCCCCACTGAGCTCACCATTGCCCTCCTCGAGAAGGAACTACTTGCAGCTGAGGCTAGCATAGTCGCTGTAGGTGCCTCTCGTGGCGACCCCCGCACCCCGTTCTTTGAGGGGTGTTCCCCTTCCCCCCTTCTTCCCTCTGTCGCCTCTGCTTCTGCTGTCGACCTCCTTGGTGCTGAGAAGGTCGGGACTGCGTCCGCTTCGAGCTGGCGCCGCAGCGGCAAAGGCAAAGGGGGCAAGGGAGGAGGAGGAGACGGCGGGGGAGGCGGTGGTGGGGGCGGTGGCGGCGGTGGGGGTGGTGGTGGGGCTGGAGGGACTAGTGGCAGCGGTGGGGGTGGTGGCGGCAGTGGCGGGGGAGGTGGCAGGGGCGGGGGCGGTGGTGGGGACGGCGGTGGACGCGGCGGCGGCAGGGGAGGGGGTGGTCGAGGAGGTGGCGGCGGAGGTGGTGGTCATGGAGGCGCTGGCAGTGGCCAGAGCCAGCAGCACACTCCGTCGCCCCAGGAGCTCCGTGAGTGGTACTCTCAGCACGGGGGGGGGGGTGGCCTTAGCTGCACGTACGTCATCCGCACTGGTGACCGCACTGGTCAGACGTGTGGGAGGGCGCACGCCACGCACCGCTGCTTCTCCCGCCTCGACGACGCTTGGCGTACTCAGTTCCCTGATGCCACTGAGATGCCCCGCTGGGCTGACCTGATGAAGAAAAACATTGATATCTATGCTCTAGACTTTGATGCTATTCTCACTGCCATGTATGTGTTGTCTACTAGTGGAGAGGGTGCTCAGTACCTGCGTGTTCCGCCCGACCCAGGCATTCGGACCAGTGAGGCTGCCGCTCTAGGTGCTAGCGTGTCTACTGCCCCAGGTGCTGGTGAGGCTGCTGCTCTAGGTGCTAGCGTGTCTGCTGCCCCAGGTGCTGGTGAGGCTGCTGCTCTAGGTGCTAGTGAGTCTGCGCCCCCTGGTACTGAGTCGACTGAGGCGCTGCACACCTTCACACTGGATTCAGGTGCTTCTCGCTGTTTCTTTCGTGACCGCACTGCCCTTGAGCAGCTTGCTCGGCCAGTTGCTGTCTCCCTCGCTGACCCCTCTGGGGGTTCGGTCATTGCGACCTCCTCCACTGTCCTTCCTTGTCCTGCGGTCCCGTCGGGCACACTGTCAGGTCTCCACCTCCCCTCGTTCTCTACGAACTTGGTGGCGGGGTGTGCGCTCCAGGACGGGGGTGTTCACGAGTTCACCCCTGCCTACGAGCGCGTGACACACTGCACGTGTGCTCGGACGGGCCGTCACCTGGCTACCTTCACTCGGCAGCCGGGGTCGGACCTGTACACACTGACCACTGAGTCCCCTCAGGTAGCTGCGTCTGCGTCTGCGTCAGGTCAGCTGTCTGCCCCCTGCTCGTGTCGCTCTCTGGCGCACGAGACCGTCCTCTAGCACCACCGACTTGGTCACCCGTCCGTGCAGCGCCTTCGTGCCATGCACAAACGGTACCTTGTCTCTGGTCTTCCCAGGGTGCTCCCTCCCCTCCCACCCTCGCCTGCTCCTCCCTGTCTTCCTTGTGTCGAGGGGCGGCAGCGCGCCGCTCCTCACTCCTCCTCGTTTCCCCCGACGACTGCTCCCTTGCAGACGCTCCACATGGACGTGTGGGGCCCAGCCCGCGTCCGTGGTCAGGGTCAGGAGAGGTACTTCCTGATTGTTGTTGACAACTACTCGCGCTACACCACGGTCTTCCCCTTGCGCACCAAGGGTGAGGTCCCTGATGTTTTGATCCCTTGGATCCGCAGAGCCCGTCTTCAGCTCAGCGAGAGGTTCCACTCGGACTTTCATGTCCTGCGTCTGCACTCTGACAGAGGTGGTGAGTTCTCCTCCGACCTCTTGGCAGCCTACTGTGCGGAGCACGGCATTGAGCAGTCGTTCACGCTTCCGGCCTCTCCACAGCAGAATGGGGTTGCTGAGCGCCGCATTGGCTTGGTCATGGAGGTCGCTCGTACCTCCTTGTTCCATGCGGCTGCCCCCCACTTTCTGTGGCCGTTTGCGGTCCGATACGCTGCGCATCAGCTCAACCTCTGGCCCCGTGTCTCCTTGCCGGAGACTTCCCCGACACTGCGTTGGACGGGAGAGGTTGGCGATGCGTCTCGTTTTCGGGTCTGGGGATCTCGAGCTTTTGTTCGCGATACGTCCGCGGACAAGCTCTCCTCCCGCGCTGTTCCTTGTGTCTTCCTTGGCTTTGTCCCGGACGCGTCTGGTTGGCAGTTTTACCACGCCACCTCGCGCCGGGTCCTGCCCTCTCAGGACGTCACTTTTGACGAGTCCGTGCCCTACTACCGCCTCTTCCCCTACCGCACTGCCCCGCTCCCCCCCCCGCCTCTCTTCCTCGCGCCAGGTGCTGCTGTGGTAGACCCCCTCCCCCCTCAGGGTGCCGCTCCCTCAGGTGTGTCCCAGGTAGACCCGGTTGAGCCTGTCGAGGTAGCTGTCGACTCTCGTCCTGCTAGGGGTGCTGAGCCTGAGCGTGCAGAGCCTGGGGGTGCGGAGCCTGGGGGTGCGGAGCCTGGGGTTGCTGAGTCTGGGGGTGCTGAGTCTGGGGGTGCTGAGTCTGGAGGTACTGAGCCTGGGAGTGCTACACCTGGAGGAGCTCTCTCCTCACAGCAGCTGCGTGAGTGGTACTTACAGTACTGCAGCCTCAGGAGAGGTGCTTCTGGAGCTAGGAGTGCTGCTGGAGCTGGTGCCAGTGCTTCCCCTCCTAGGCGGGAGCTGCCCTCTCCTCAGCGGCTCCGAGAGTGGTACGCGCGGCGCTGCAGTCTCCGGAGTGGCGCTCCTAGAGTCGCGGACCCTAGTGCTGGAGGTGCTGCTGCTGGTGCTACTGGAGGTGCTGCTGCTGCTGGTGCTGCTGCCGCTGCAGGAGGTGCGACTGGTGCTGCTGGAGCTGCTGGAGGTACTGCTACTTCTGGAGGTGGTGCTGGTGCTGAGGACCCGGGCGTTGGAGCTGCTGCTGGTGCTGCGGACCCGGGCGTTGGAGCTGCTGCTGGTGCTGCCGACCCTGGAGTTGGAGCTGCTGCTGGAGCTGAGGACCCTGGAGTTGGAGCTGCTGCTGGTGCTGCAGACCCTGGAGTTGGAGCTGCTGCTGGAGCTGAGGACCCTGGAGTTGGAGCTGCTGCTGGTGCTGCGGACCCGGGAGCTGGTGCTGCCGGTGTAGCTGGAGACCCTGGAGCTGAGGGTGCTGGAGGTGCCTCTGCTGGTTCTGGAGGCGCTGCGCGGCCGCGGCCGTACTTTGTTCAGCTCCTTCAGCAGGTTCTTGGTCAGCCGCCTCCCCCTAGTCCTGCTCCCTCCTTAGAGTGTCCTCCGCCTGTCCTGTCGCAGTCACAGCTACCGCCTGCCTCGCCACTCCCTGGTCCTTCTCCTTACACTGGTCCGACAGGCGGTCTCACTGAGCGTCGTGAGCCTGAGTCTCGTCCTGTGTCGCCAGAGTCTCGGTCCGCGTCGCCTGTTCGTGCTGCCCGCACTGGTCGTCGTGTCCCGCGTCAGCGTCCACCTGCTGTCACAGGCACTTACGAGATGGCGCTTCGTCCTTCCACTGCTCCCCAGCGTGTCCTTCTGCCGTCTCCTCCTGCTTCCTCTCTTCCTGCTCTTTCTGACCCGGAGTCTGACTCCCTTCGTGCTGCCAGTCCTACTGTCACGCGTCTCCTCGCCACTGTTGTCACCGACCCTACCTTTGAGTCCTCTGCTGCGTCTGCTCTAGTCGCTGAGTTAGTTGCCTTTGCTGCCGCCTGTCGTCTAGACTACGCCGCTAGCCTTGTTGCTGAGTCTGAGTCTGTCTGTCCTCCGTCCGTCGGGGGTGAGTGTGCTCTTGGCACGGACGTCCTTGAGGACAGGCAGGAGGAGTTTGAGTGCTTTGCCGCTGCTTTACCTCATCTCGTGTCCATGCTGGTTGCCCCTGAGGGAGACCCGGATGCTCCAGACATCCCGACCCCGCGCTCTTACGCTGAGGCGATCGCGGGTGAGTACTCCTCTCAGTGGCAGACAGCCATGGACGCAGAGATGGCTTCTTGGAAGTCCACAGGCACCTACGTTGACGAGGTTCCCCCACCTGGGGCGAACATCGTCAGTGGCATGTGGATTTTCAGGGTGAAGCGGCCGCCGGGTTCTCCGCCTGTCTTCAAGGCGCGTTACGTTGCACGAGGCTTCAGTCAGCGAGAGGGAGTTGACTTCTTCCAGACCTTCTCCCCGACCCCGAAGATGACCACTCTTCGGGTTCTGCTGCACGTCGCCGCTCAGCGTGACTACGAGCTCCACTCTCTTGACTTCAGCACTGCTTTCCTACAGGGCAGCCTGCACGAGGAGATCTGGCTGCGCCGCCCACCTGGCTTCACTGGGTCGTTTCCTCCTGGTACCCAGTGGAGCCTCCGGCGGCCAGTCTACGGTCTTTGCCAGGCGCCTCGTGAGTGGCACGACACACTGAGGACTACACTTGCGGCTCTTGGGTTTGCTCCTGCTACTGCCGACCCGTCGCTGTTTCTACGCACCGACACCTCTTTGCCGCCGTTCTACATCCTCGTGTACGTCGACGACTTGGTCTTTGCCACTGCTGACACTGCGGCACTCGCCCACGTGAAGTCGGAGCTGCAGAAGAGACACACGTGCACAGACCTGGGGAAACTGACAAGCTATCTTGGCTTGCGGATCACCCGGGACAGAGCACGGCGCACCATCACCTTGACTCAGTCACACATGGTGCAGCAGGTCCTTCAGCGCTTCCACTTCACGTACTCCTCGCCTCAGCCCACTCCTCTGCCTACCGGTCACTCGCTCTCAGCTCTGCCTTCGGATGAGTCCGTAGAGCCGAGTGGCCCGTATCCAGAGCTTGTGGGCTGCCTCATGTACCTGATGACCTGCACTCGACCTGACCTTGCATACCCTCTTAGCATCCTTGCACGCTATGCCGCTCCTGGCCGTCACCGGAAGGAGCACATGGATGCCGCTAAGAGGGTGTTGCGCTACTTGTGCAGTACGTCGGGCATGGGGCTAGTGCTTGGAGGACGAGATCGAGTTGTACTCACTGGGCACTCAGACGCTTCTTGGGCTGACGACCAGGCTACTCAGCGGTCGTCTCAGGGCTACACCTTCAGCCTTGGCTCTGGCTCTGTTTCTTGGCGTTCTACACGCTCTTCTTTTGTTCTCAGCTCCAGTTGTGAGGCTGAGATCTACGCTACAGCCATGGCGGCCCAGGAGCTACGCTGGCTCACCTACCTGCTGACCGACCTCGGAGAGCGGCCTCGTTCTCCTCCAGTGCTGTACGTCGACAACAAGGCAGCCATTGCCTTGTGTGAGGAGCACAGACTGGAGCACAGATCGAAGCACATCGCTCTACGCTACTTCCTTGCTCGAGAGCTGCAGCAGCGTGGTCAGCTTCGTCTTACCAACGTGGCCACTCGGGCCAACACTGCTGATGTGTTCACCAAGGCGCTTCAGCCTTGTGACCATCAGCGTTTCTGTACTATTCTAGGCCTTGTGCCTACTCTCCCTCACTTGCTCACTTCTTGACTCTGCTTGTACTGTGATCTCTACATATATACCTGCATGCTTACACTTGCTAGGTTGTGATCACTGTACCTCTTGTTATATTATCAAACTGCATGTGAACTGGTCTTGTGACCGCTTGCTTGTGCTCGGAATTTGTGTGGTATCCTTGAGATCCACCCTGAGCTTTGCTTTGCTTTGCTTTGCTTTGACTGGTCTTGTGACCCTCTGGTTGTCTCCCACTTCGCCTATGGGGTTTGTCAAACATTGTATGTTTACATTGTGTAGGCTATAGTGGGTTTAGCCTTAGGGGGTACACAAACTTAGGGTTTCCTACTTGTACCCAACTTTGTGCTAGTTCATTCATTCCTGTTTCGTTCATTCTGACACGTCCACGACGACGTCCACGACCACGTCCACGTCCACGTCCACGACCACGTCCACGTCCACGACCGCGTCCACGTCCACGACCACGTCCACCTCCACGACCACGACCACGTCCACGTCCACGTCCACGACCACGACCACGTCCACGTCCACGTCCGCGTCCACGACCACGACCACGTCCACGTCCACGTCCACGACCACGTCCACGAACACGTCCACGTCCACGACCACGTCCACGTCCACGTCCACGACCACGACCACGTCCACGTCCACGTCCACGACCACGACCACGACCACGTCCAAGACCACGACCACGTCCACGACCACGTCCACGACCACGACCACGTCGACGTCCACGTCCACGTCCACGTCCACGTCCACGACCACGACCACGTCCACCTCCACGTCCACGACCACGTCCACGTCCACGTCCACGACCACGACCACGTCCACGTCCACGTCCACGACCACGTCCACGTCCACGTCCACGTCCACGACCACGACCACGTCCACGTCCACGTCCACGACCACGACCACGTCCACGACCACGTCCACGTCCACGTCCACGTCCACGACCACGTCCACGACCACGTCCACGTCCACGTCCACGACCACGTCCACGTCCACGTCCACGACCACGTCCACGACCACGTCCACGTCCACGTCCACGACCACGACCACGTCCACGACCACGTCCACGACCACGACCACGACCACGTCCACGTCCACGTCCACGTCCACGTCCACGACCACGTCCACGTCCACGACCACGTCCACGTCCACGTCCACGTCCAAGTCCACGTCCACGTCCACGTCCACGTCCACGCCCACGTCCAAGTCCACGTCCACGTCCACGACCACGTCCACGTCCACGACCACGTCCACGTCCACGACCACGACCACGACCACGTCCAAGACCACGACCACGTCCACGACCACGTCCACGACCACGTCCACGTCCACGACCACGTCCACGTCCACGTCCACGACCACGACCACGTCCACGACCACGTCCACGTCCACGACCACGTCCACGACCACGTCCACGTCCACGTCCACGACCACGACCACGTCCACGACCACGTCCACGTCCACGTCCACGTCCACGACCACGTCCACGTCCACGTCCACGACCACGTCCAAGTCCAAGACCATGTCCACGACCACGTCCACGACCACGTCGACGACCACACGGCTCGACGTGATGGCTGCACTAGGTTCGGTTGCACTCTGCGTCTTGTTTTGGGCCGACTCAACACGTCGACCCCCTGCTCCTCTCTCCACCCTCGGCTTCCACACCCTCTACCGCGTCGACGACCACATGGCTCGACGTGGTGGCTGCACTAGGTCTGGTCGCTCTCTGCGGCTTGTTTTGGGCCGACTCAAGACGTCGACCCCCTACTCCTCACTTTACTCTCTGTTTCCACCCCCTCCTTCGCATCGATGACCACACTACTCGACGTGGTGGCTGCACTAGGTCTGGTCGCTCTCTGCGTCTTGTTTTGGGCCGACTCAAGACGTCGACCACCTGCTCCTCTCTCCACCCTCTGCTTCCACCCCTTCTACCGCGTCGACGACCACACGGCTCGATGTGGTGGCTACACTAGGTTCGGTCCCTCTCTGTGTCTTGTTTTGTGTCGACTCAAAACGTCGACCCCCTGCTCCTCTCTCCATCCTCTGCTTCCACCCCCTCTTTCGCGTCGACGACCACACGGCTCGACGTGGTGGCTGCACTAGGTTCAGTCACTCTCTGCGTCTACTTTTGAGCCGACTCAAAACGTCGACCACCTGCTCCTCTCTCCACCCTCCCCTTTCACCATCTCTTCCGCGTCGACGACCACATGGCTCGACGTGGGTTCGGTCACTTTCTGCGTCTTGTTTTGGGTCGACTCACAACGTCGACCCCCTGCTCTTCTCTCCATCTTCTCTTCCACCCTCTCTACGGCGTCGACGACCACACGGCTCGACGTGGTGGCTACACTAGGTTCGGTCACTCTCTGCGTCTTGTTTTGGGCCGACTCAAAACGTCGACCCCCTGCTCCTCTCTCCACCCTCTGCTTCTACCCTCTCTACCGCGTCGACGACCACTCGGATCGACGTGGTGGCTGCACTAGGTTCGGTCGCTCTCTGCGTCTTGTTTTGGGTCGACTCAAAACGTCGACCACCTGCTCCTCTCTCCACCCTCTGCTTCCCCCCCCTCTACCGCGTGGACGACCACACGGCTCGACGTGGTGGCTGCACTAGGTTCGGTCGCTCTCTGCGTCTTGTTTTGGGCCGACTCAACACGTCCACACCCTGCTCCTCTCTCCACCCTATGCTTCCCCCCCCTCTTCCGCGTCGACGACCACACGGCTCGACGTGGTGGCTGCACTAGGTTCGGTCGCTCTCTGCGTCTTGTTTTGGGCCGACTCAACACGTCCACACCCTGCTCCTCTCTCCACCCTCTGCTTCCACCCCCTCTTCCGCGTGGACCACACGGCTCGACGTGGTGGCTGCACTAGGTTCGGTCGCTCTCTGCGTCTTGTTTTGGGCCGACTCAAAACGTCGACCCCCTGCTCCTCTCTCCACCCTCTGCTTCCACCCCCTCTACTGCGTCGACGACCACACGGCTCGACGTGGTGGCTCCACTAGGTCCGGTCGCTCTCTGCGTCTTGTTTTGGGCCGACTCAAAACGTCGACCCCCTGCTCCTCTCTCCGCCCTCTGCTTCCACACCCTCTACCGCGTCGACCACACAGCTCGACGTGGTGGCTGCACTAGGTTCGGTCGCTCTCTGCGTCTTGTTTTGGGCCGACTCAAGACGTCGACCCCCTGCTCCTCTCTCCACCCTCTGCTTCCACCCCCTTTTTCACGTCGACGACCACACGGCTCGACGTGGTGGCTGCACTAGGTTCGGTCGCTCTCTGCGTCTTGTTTTGGGCCGACTCAAAACGTCGACCCCCTGCTCCTCTCTCCACCCTCTGCTTCCACCCCCTCTACTGCGTCGACGACCACACGGCTCGACGTGGTGGCTCCACTAGGTCCGGTCGCTCTCTGCGTCTTGTTTTGGGCCGACTCAAAACGTCGACCCCCTGCTCCTCTCTCCGCCCTCTGCTTCCACACCCTCTACCGCGTCGACCACACAGCTCGACGTGGTGGCTGCACTAGGTTCGGTCGCTCTCTGCGTCTTGTTTTGGGCCGACTCAAGACGTCGACCCCCTGCTCCTCTCTCCACCCTCTGCTTCCACCCCCTTTTTCGCGTCGACGACCACACGGCTCGACGTGGTGGCTGCACTAGGTTCGGTCGCTCTCTGCGTCTTGTTTTGGGCCGACTCAAAACATCGACCCCCTGCTCCTCTCTCCACCCTCTACTTCCACCCCCTCTACTGCGTTGATGACCACACGTCTCGGCGTGGTGGCTCCACTAGGTTCGGTCGCTCTCTGCGTCGTGTTTTGGAATGACTCAAAACGTCGACCCCCTGCTTCTCTCTCCACCCTCTGCTTCCACACCCTCTACCGCGTCGACGACCACACGGCTCCACGTGGTGGCTACACTAGGTCCGGTCGCTCTCTGCGTCTTGTTTTGGGCCGACTCAAGACGTCGACCCCCTGCTCCTCACTTTACTCTCTGCTTCCACCCCCTCTTCCGCGTCGACGACCACACTACTCGACGTGGTGGCTGCACTAGGTCTGGTTGCTCTCGACGACTTGTTTTGGGCCGACTCAAAACTTCAACCCCCTGCTCCTCTCTCCACCTTTTCTTCCACACCCTCTACCGTGTCGACGACCACACGGCTCGACGTGGTTGCTGCACTAGGTCCGGTCGCTCTCTGCGTCTTGTTTTGGGCCGACTCTAGACGTCGACCCCCTGCTCCTCACTCCACTCTCTGCTTCCACACCCTCTTCCGCGTCGACGACCACACGGCTCCACGTGGTGGCTCCGCTAGGTTCGGTCGCTCTCTGCGTCTTGTTTTGGGCCGACTCAAAACGTCAACCCCCTGCTCCTCTCTCCAACCTCTACTTCCACCCTCTCTACCGCGTCGACGACCACACGTATCGACGTGGTGGCTATACTAGGTCCGGTTGCTCTCTGTGTCTTGTTTTGGGCCGACTCAAGACGTCGACTTCCTGCTCCTCTCTCCACCCTCTGCTTCCACCCCCTCTTCCGCGTCGATGACCACACGGCTCGATGTGGTGGCTCCACTCGTTTCGGTCACTCTCTGTGTCTTGTTTTGGGCCGACTTAAGACGTCGACCCCTTCCTCCTCTCTCCACCATCAGCTTCCACCCCCTCTTCCCCGTCGACGACCACACGGCTCGACGTGGTGGCTGCATTAGTTTCGGTCGCCCTCTGCGTTTTCTTTTGGGCCGACTCAAAACGTCGACCCCCTGCTCCTCTCTCCACCCTCTGCTTCCACCCTCTCTTCCCCGTCGACGAACATACTGCTCGACGTGATGGCTGCACTAGGTTCTGTCGCTCTCTGCATCTTGTTTTGGGCCGACTCAAAAAGTCGACCCCCTACTCCTCTCTCCACCCTCTGCTTCCACCCCCTCTTCCCCGTCGAAGTGGTGGCTCCACTAGGTTCGGTCGCTCCCTGCGTCTTGTTTTGGACCGACTCAAGACGTCGACCCCCTGCTCCTCTCTCCACCCTTAGCTTCCACGCAGACGCAGCTACCTGAGGAGGCACAGTAGTCAGTGTGTACAAACTCGACCCAGGCCGACGGGTGAACGTGGCCAGGTGCCTGCCAGTCTGAGAGCATGTACAGATCGCCACACGCTGTCCTCCAGGGGTGAAGGTATCAACCGACTCATCCTGAAGGATGGCATTGCTCACCAAGTTCGTAGATAATGAGGGGAGGTGAAGACCTGACAGTGAGCCAGACAGAACCGCCGAACACGGCAGTACAGTGGAGGAACGTGCAAGGACTGGGCCCCGAAAGGGGTCAGCCAGAGAGACAGCAACAGGTGCAGAGAGCAGTGTGACTGTGGTACTATCGCGAAAGAAACAGCGGGAAGCACCTGAGTCAAGCGTGAAGGTGTGCAAGGCCGCAGCAGACGCAGTACTAGAGAGAGCAGACTCACCAGCACCTGGAGCAGCAGACTCACTAGCACCTAGAGCAGCAGCCTCTATACCTGGGTCTGGCGGCATACAAAGGTAACAGTCACCCTCAGCACTAACAGTCAATGCATACATGGCAGCAAGGATAGCATCATAATCAAGAGCAAAGATATCCAGACCCTGCCTAAGCAGCTCTGCCCAGCAGGGGAGCTCAGCCGTGTCGGGAAACTCTGTGCGGAAGGCGTCGTCAAGACGAGAGAAGCAGCGGTACTGGGTGTGACGCTTCCCGCATGTCTGACCAGAGCAGGTCTGGTTTCAAAGGAGGTCCTAGCCTACGACCGTTTTTTTTTTGGGCCCGCTGAATCGCGCTACCCCACCGAGTCGCGCCGCCTTGTTAGTGCTGCGCTGCCTTGCCCTGCCCTGCGTCGCGCTGCCCGCGCAAGCCCTGCCCTGCCCTGCCCGCGTGCGCCGATCGCTGCTCGCCGCCGTGCGCCCTGCTCTACCCGCGCGCTGCTAGCCGCCGCGCGCCCTGCCCTGTCTGAGCGCCGGCTGCCGCCGCGCCGCACCGCTCTGCCCGCGCGCTGCTTGCCGCCCAAGTTTACACGTCCACGGCCACGTCCAAGACCACGTCCACGTCCACTTCCAAGTCCATGGCCACGACCACGTCCACGTCCACGACCAGGTCCACGTCCACGACCACGTCCACGACCAAGTCCACGTCCACGTCCACGTCCAAGACCACGTCCACGTCCACTTCCAAGTCCACGTCCACGACCACGTCCACGTCCACGTCCACGACCACGTCCACGTCAACGTCCACGACCATGTCCACGTCCACGTCCACGTCCACCTCCACGACCACGACCACGTCCACGACCACGTCCACGTCCACGTCCACGTCCACGACCACGTCCACGACCACGACCACGTCCACGTCCACGACCACGTCCACGACCACGTCCAGCTCCACGACCAAGTCCAACTCCACGACCACGTCCACGTCCACGTCCAAGTCCACGTCCAAGTCCACGTCCACGACCACGTCCACGACCACGTCCAGCTCCAAGACCAAGTCCAACTTCACGACGACGTCCACGTCCACGTCCAAGTCCACGTCCAGGTCCACGTCCACGACCACGTCCAGCTCCACGTCCTCGTCCACGTCCACGTCCACGTCCACGTCCACGACCACGTCCAAGTCCACGTCCAAGTCCAACTCGACGACCACGTCCACGTCCACGTCCACGACCAAGACCACGTCCAAGTCCACGTCCAAGTCCACGTCCAAGACCAAGTCAACGACCACGTCCAAGTCCACGTCCAAGACCACGTACACGTCCACGACCAAGACCACGTCCACGTCCACGACCAAGTCCACGACCAAGAACACGACCACATCCACGACCTAGTCCACGACCACGACCACGACCACGACCACGTCCACGTCCACGTCCACGACCACGACCACGTCCACGACCACGTCCACGTCCACGACCACGACCACGTCCACGACCACGACCACGACCACGACCAGGTCAACGACCACGTCCACGACCACGACCACGACCACGTCCAGGTCCACGACCACGACCACGACCACGTCCACGTCCACGACCACGTCCACGTCCACGTCCACGACCAAGTCGACGACCACGACCACGTCCACGTCCACGTCCACGACCAAGTCGACGACCACGACCACAACCAGGTCCACGACCACGACCACGACCACATCTGTTGGTGCAACCCTACGGTTTGCACTCGGTTTGTTGTCCGTGTGCGTG